AAATAAAAACTAAAATGTCTCTTAATAACTGATTTGAACTTGCTTAATTGTTTTATAGGTGGACTTGTTTCATGTTCAAGGTTGATGGTAGGATGCAACTCTGGGGTTGGAATTCTGTAGACAGTCACGATACTCTTTTGTTCAGCATAGGATATGTGTGAGACCTGACCCAGCACAAACATAATAATGTGTATTATGTTTCACATGTTGGTTTGGTGTCAGCTGTTGCCATCTTCAGCTTTGTTCATAGCTTAGCTTTTGCTTATGGCACAAGAACTTTCAACTCATACTTTTAACTTTTTTTCAGGATAAAGTTATACAAGGGGATTCATTTTTGAATGAAGATTTAAATGAGCTAATCAAAAGACATTGCAATGAAGTTGGTACTCACTTGCCTCTGGATTTCACCAAATATTTGCAGTCATCACTACGGTAGTAGAAGAAAGAAGTGTCAGTGGACTTTCTTGTATATTTGCACGTGTGGGTGCAGATGCACATAAAGATATATTGTTAATTTAGGACCTTCTTTTTTTATACAAGGGAAATTTCCTAAGAAAATTAGCAGAGGAAGAAGAATTTCCCTTTGGGTGGTGCAGGTTCTGCCCTAATTTTGAAAATGTCATTTCATTAAGAAAGGGAATCTAGGGGCTGGCTCCATGGTCGACTGGTTAAGTTCGCACGCTCTGCTTCGGCAGCCCAGGGTTTTGCCAGTTTAGATCCTGGGTGCGGACATGGCACCATTCATCAAACCATGCTGAGGTGGCATCCCACATGCCACAACTAGAAGGACCCGCAACTAAAAATACACAACTATGTACCAGGGGGCTTTGGGGAGAAAAAGGAAAAATAAAATAAATAAACAAATTAAATAAAATGTTAAAAAAAAAAGGGGGAATCTAAAGCCTTTAACCCCTGCACCCACTATTTGGAAATTTCTTTCTTAATGATGTTGCCTTTTTAAAACTCCCTATGCATATTAAATTATAGTTTTTAGAAAATCTGTTCACTGAACTTATTGAAATGCAGTTGCTGGATTAAAATGAGAGCATAGAGCACAGAAAAATCAAGACCGTAAGGTTGCTTTTAACCATGTGGCTATTCTTTATAACCAAATACACTTTATAACCAAATAAATCTGTTTTTATTGCAGCACCATAGGTAGAAGTGAGAAAAATTTTAAATTTGAGTGAGTATATTTTTATGAAGATTTTTGATTTAAAAAAATAGTTTGAAATGAGATACCAGGTTCATTGGCTCTTGCTGGATGATGTACTTCAAGAAGTAAGGTAATTTGGCCTTTTTAAAAAGAGTAAGGGGCCAGCCTGGTGGTGTAGTAGTTAAGTTCACACACTCCACTTTGGCGGCTCAGGGTTTGCAGGTTCGGATCCTGGGCATGGACCTAGCACTGCTTGTCAAGCCACGCTGTGGCAGCATCTCACATAAAATAGAGGAAGATTGACATAGATTTTAGCTCAAGGACAATATTCCTCAAGCAAAATGGGGGAAGATTGGCAACAGATGTTAGGTCAGGGCCAGTCTTTCTCACACACACACAAAAAGAATGAGAGTGACTACTTTCAAAGAAAGTTTGAATGTGATTCTAGTCTCCAAAGTTCTTTGCATTTTCTGACATATTCTGGAGAGTGATGGGGGAAGCAGTGCTCCCAAGTGGAAAAACCAAGTCTGATATTTTACCATCCTGTTTTAAGGATAAAGGCTACCCAGTGAAGGGCTTTTTTTAAAAACACAGATAAAATGCCAATTCTTATGAATGTAATTAAAAAGCAGTATTTTATGTAACAGCCATTGCCATATTCTAGGAATGGCCTATGAATTATGTGTTTGACTGCCTAGGTTATAAATATTTCTACTGTGAACAGTTGAATAAAACAGCTGCTTTTTTTCTCCCTCCTATTCTTGTCAAGTGAGTATTAAAAAAAATGCACAGCAGTCCAACTAAATAGATCTGTGATTTCTTCAAAGCTATATAAGTCAATTCTTTTGATCTAAGAGCCTAAACCTCTTTTTTTCTCGTGAAGTAAGTGAAAATAGAAAGTTCCTCTATCAGTCCAGCAGAGTGGTGGCTATCAGCTCAACCGTGCATGTAAGTCTTTCAGCATATTCTGATATCTGATTTGAAAAAGTGTTTCTAAGATGAATTTTTTTAGGCTTGATTATTTAATGATGAGAAATGTATGATTCAAAATATAATATTGGCTTTTAACCCACCTTTTAGATATAAAACAAAGTCCAGGAATGTGATGAATAGTTATTTGGATGACTGGAGGGTTCCCCATCAGAGCATGAGTGACCAATACATGTCACAAATCATTTATTTTCCAAACATATACAGATACGTTTATGTTTCACTTTGGCAGAAGAAACTGTAGTTTAGGTGAAAAATCAGTTTTAAAATAGAAATTCATCAACTATTTCACACCTGTATTATGCTTTTAACCTTCTTGTTACACATATAGGGAATTGCAGTGGGACCAAAAATTATATATCTAGTATTTGAATATCCTATATGAATTTGAGAATGAAATGCCTTTGTGCCTTGTATTGATGAGTTTCATTTTCCGAACTAAATATTGTAGTCATTAATAATAATACACACACACCCTGAGGCTATACTAAGCTACAGCCTTAATATTTCTTTAACTAGACAAATATTCAGCACCTACTATGTGCTTAGCCCTGTAATTGGCACTTAAAAGTGAAGTGGGGTAATAACATAGCCTCTGTCTTCCATTATCTTGCATGCTGAGTCCGTTCAGTCACACATTTTTTAAAGATGGGACATTACCCAATTCAGTGTCAGAGTGAGTTGTTTCAAAGTTCAGAGACCTGTGTCATCTAAAATAGGGAAGGTTTCAGAGGCCTGCTTGTTGGCAGGTTTGAGCATAGTTGTGTTTTGGATCCAAGAGATGTACATGAATAGCTGGGTAATCCTGGCAATTCAGTGAGTATTTCAACAACATTCATTTCAGGTATTCCCATTTCAAAATCCTTAGCCATCAGCCAAGGATTGCTTTTAGGAAGTTGATACATAGAGATGGCAGAGGACACATAGATTGTTAACAATGCACTGTATTGTGGAAAGGTTGATCCGAGTATGGACTTTGTGTAAGAGGCAATCTCCCTTTTCTACTAACTTTTTGGAGGGCCCAGGTATTCACCTCTTCTTGCCTTGCTGCTGATGTGAGAGAAGCATTTGAAAGGGATCAGAGGCAGCCATCTAGAGAGCACTTTCCCTGTAGGCTGCCTCTCACTCTGCTAAGTATAAGATCACACACCAGCCAGGAAAATCCTACTTTTCTATTGGCATGGGAGCAGAGTTGTGGAGCTTTGTGTTTTAGAGTTAATTCAGTTTTACCAGACCAGTATGCAAGCTCCTGTTACTTTTCAGAATTAAGCAAGGCCTGTGGGTGTCCATCCAGATTGGGGAGGAGAGGTCTACAGAGATATTGGAAGCGGAGAGGACAGAGAAGGGGAAGATGTAGTTTTTAAAAAAACAACAGTACATGTGTAACAATAGGGGAGGCCCACTTTCATTAGTGAGCCTCAAGTGTCTCCAGAGCCATCCCCAAACTGTGTTAAAAACAAGGCACCTGACATGTACTTTTGTTGAGTCTAGACTCCATATTTACCCCAACTGCAGAATTTATAAATAATTTTTACTTGCTAAGGATGACATGAAAAGAGGCCTTCCCTCAAGAGGGCGCTTTCTGCCCACATGGTATTATTACGTCCTACAGAGTAATCCTCACACTTATCCTTAATTCCTTGACGCCCTCTTGTCATCTTAGATTATTTGTAAAACCGCCGGGTCCAGATGAACAGGTGACTGAGAGGAAGTTAATCTATTTCTTCCCGCGTCACACATCACACAGGATTCTGACTCCAAGCCTTTCTTGCCAGCCGTAGGTATTCTTAAAAGTTGGCCACTACCTAACAAGGTGACAGAATTCATGTTCCTTGTTTTTAGTGAAGCAGCTTAAAATATTTTTCCTCAGAATCTTGTAATAAACCCAGCTTGCATATTGAGATTCTTTTCCATATCAGCTTTACTGATAAACGTTTGCTACCTGGGTTTTTAGTAGTCTGAAAAGTATGAAGTGAAGTGGTGATGGGTATAGTTTGGGTGGCTGTTTTAGATACATTCTAAATAATAGGATAATTTCTTTCATTTGGTATACTAATATAGCTGTGTAATGCAGATAAGCTATAAATAAAAATTTCATGTTTTTGGCAAACATGGGGTTGTGCTGGTTAGTTGTAATAGAAGAGCGGGACCTTTTACATTTTTGAGCAACGTATCCTTCCTAAAACCCCAAGAACTCAATACAATAGAATGGAATGAATAGCCTCAAAATGGAATGGCCAACCAAGTTGGGTTGCAACAGAGGCAAATAGGCTGTTGTTAAAACACTCACTTACTAAAACCTAGTGTCACGTTCAGTCTCCCGGCAAGCTTCAGATTTTGTTCTGTGGCCGAATCAGCTATGTTAAAGGCTGTGGGGTCAGGTGGGGAGGAGCTTGGAAAGAGTCAAGGCCAGATGATAAACCTGGAGAGACCCTTCTTGCTGTGCATCTCGTTACTCTGCATAGTTTTCATTTTGACTCTAGCCAGTTAGACCAGTAACTTGCTTTTCAATAGATAGTATGCCAAACCAGAGGAAAAAATGCCTCTGAGTTTATAGAAGCTTGATACAGTGTCTCTGGAATATTTTTAAAAATGGGGCAGCATTGTGCATTTGTTATACACTGATTGCTTTAAAGAAACCTGTAGCAGTGTACAAAATACATCAAACTGGAATAGCCTGCATTCTATCAACAAGCAAATGGTGCTTCTTCCAGCATTAAGACTTTGAGTCAGTAAGAACTTCCATAACATGAAAGCTGTGTGTGCTGTATTTTTAACACTTCTGTTTTTAGAATTGCAAAGAACTAGGGAATTGTTTACTTATTTTTATAATTGGCAAAAAACTTCTCAAAGCAAAGGTTAAGATTTTTACTGTGTTTTATAATTTGAAGAAAAATGTCTTGAATTTTAATAGAAAGATAAAATTTAGATTTTACTTCAGAGGAACACATTTCATTTTAAGTCTTAATTTGCTTCATACAAAGAATAAGAATCCTTTACACTTACATGATAGTTTTATACAGCAAGATTTTAAAAATAATTTACATTAAATGGCAAGTATGACTTGAATCAATAGCTCTTCAATTAATCAGAAATGCAAATGAAGCTTTTTTCACATGAAATTCTGGCCCATTTCAGGTATTCAGAGCATACATTTTCTTTTTTAGGAGATTTGTCTTCAAATAGTGAGACAGAACCACTAATATTTCTAATCCATAAGCAATACCAAGAAAGCTATGTATAATAAATATATAAGTACAGTGTCAGTACAAACTTTGAAAAATAAATAAACACCAACTCAGTCTACTTTTGCTTTAAAAAACAGGTTAAGTTTCTTGTTAAGATGTCACAACTCAGTAGATATTACATTATACATCATTCTAAACCCATTTTGTGAAAAACAAAAGTGGAATACTCTGTGAATATATAAGCAATAAACTTAAAAAAAACACAACCCAGTATTATTCTGTATGTAAAAAGAATTCCTAAAGAAGAGTTCACTATGGTACACAATACAGAAACTACATTGAATTACTTTTAATGAATCTTACAGGACATATTTACATTTGCAATGCCCAAAAGCTTCCAATTCTCAGCCATAAAATGTGCAGCTAAACTAGCTTGCTTGTTTTCAGACCCCTGTGCCTCTTGTTCCCAATTTTCTAAGTCAGGTCAGCAAACTATGGCCCTTTGGCCAAATCCAGCCTGCCACCTGTTTTACTATGGCTCTTGAACTAAAAATAGTTTTCAAATGTTTTTAAATGATTGGAAAAAAAAAACAGAAGAGGATTTGTGACGTCAAGATTATATGAAATTCTAATTTCAGTGCCTGTAAAGTTTTATTGGAACAGAGCCATGCTCATTCGTGTATATATTGTCTGTGGCTGCTTTTGCGCTACAACAGCTGAGTTGAATAGTTGCAACAGAGACCATATGGCCAGTAAGCCTAAAATATTTACTATCTGGCCCTTTACAGACAAAGTTTGCTGACCCTTGGTCTAAGTCAATTATTGCTAGCTTAGCAATTGTTTTTTCCAACTGTTGACATTTGTAAAATGGCAATCTCCTGGGTTTCTTTGCTTCATTCATCAGGAAATTGGTTGGCAGCTAGCCCTGTGCCATTTTGCTTTTCCTCAGTGTAGACCTCACATCATGTGTGAAGAAGCCTTCAGTTCAGAAATCATCAATTTCCAGTTTAAGTCTAATGAAAATAAAGAAATTACATTTGTTTCCACCATGTTCGCTCTTGACTTTAACTTCTTGCCAAAGATATCACCTGTAAAGTTGTATACATAGACTTATTAGTACATTTAAAATGAAGGAGCAGAAACATTTACAGTGTAGCAAGAGTTTAGTGTTGTTCACCCAGCAGAAACCCACAGCTCTGGTGACTGCGTTTGGGGGAGAGACTATTTCTTATAAACTCACAAGGTTATAACATGATGTTCCAGGAGGTGGAAAGTTAGGCTATTTCTGCCCTGGAACACCACATTTTTAGAAAGATTTTTTTTAAAGCACAATCAAATAAACCGTTCAGCTTTTTAAAAAAGATGGAATTCCTTCAACAACTGTATTTATTACTTCAGATAACAGTAAGGTAGATAATTACTTGTTCAGAAATTCTTCGGTTATTAAGGGGTAACCCTTGAAACTTTAGAGGTGAAAATTTTAGAACAAATAACATGAAATATGTCACTCAGAAAGCAATAAAAATACTAAACTTGCTTTCTTATGAGCATACACAGAAAGGCCCTTGGTTTTTCACAAGTGCTCTTTCTTGGAAACACCATTTGTAAAGGAGTTCATAACATGGGATATATATTCCTATAGTTGCACCAATGGATATTTTTAAAGAGAAGCTTCCCAAGTTTAAGCCAAGCTGAGGTCAGCTGAATGCTTCCCAATGTCTGCTTGCTGTGGGAAAACTGAGTGCAAAGGCACTCATCTAGATCACCACCTCCCTCCCTACTCACCTAAAATTTAAGCAATTAGTAATGCTCATTATAGCAAGCATATTATTTTTAAGTCAAATTTCTAGTGGAGTTGTATTCTTATGTACTTAATGTAATCTGGTAGCACAATGAGGGCTCCTTAATGTGCAGTGTAATTTCACTTTATCATTATGGAGGTTATAATATAGAGGTGTGTATAACATTATCACACTTGTGATTTATTTGATGCTAAGCTCTTGATATAGAAGACAATACTTTAAATTTCTTTCTGATGAGTCTTTACATGTAGAACCTAAACAAGCTCGAATCTCTCAGAATAGCAGGATATGCAGACGAAAGGGGCGGTTTCCTGTGTTTGGCCTTGTCTGTTGTTTTGAAAGAGCTTTGTAAGTATAGTATGGAACACCAATTATTTTAGGAGTCCCTCCTTAAATGTAGAAACACGGGCTCGATGTATTAGGTCTTCTTTGGGTCTGTTACAAACCAAATTTGGCCTTGTCAGGAGGTATCAATTAATTCTTTAATTGTGAGCTTCTACAAGTCTATGTAAGGAATTCCTGATTTGTCGTGAAGACAGATGATGAAGCTCTGCAGAATAAGCAGCAGGGTCTCCCTATGCTGTTGGTCTCTTGTGAATTTTACATCTTAGAACTACAGAGAAACAGGTGAAAAGTCAGCTTTAATAATCCCTTGGGTTCGTTAAGAAACTAAGTGAACAGAAGAAATCTAGGTTCGGTTTCCTCAAAATTTTTTTTCTTTTTTAATTCAGCTTCCATATAAATAATTTGTTTTAAGATAGAATGAAATTTACTCGGTACCAAGCAGTAGCTTGGCAACCAAAGGCCTCATTTACTGCAGTTTCAAGATCGAGGCTATGTTATTTTGCTTTTTTATTTTGTTTTTAACCAACACAGCCTGAATACCAGATTTTTATTTTTTAATTATGGCAGAAGAAGTTGAGGTTGTTGAGGCTAAATCAAACCTAAATTAAAATAACATAAAACTAGAAATCCAAAGGAACGAAAGCTGAATGACACAAAGCAGCCCTTCAAGAATGTTCATGTGAGTTGTAATTAAGCTAGGTCTATGTCTGTGAAATAAGGCTCTTGTAGTAGTTTGGTCAAGTTGGTTGTCCTCTTGGGGCCTTTGTTTAGTTATCTATAAAATAAGGAGGTCTAAAATGATAATGCTGAAGGTACATATGTCTTCAGAGCCCTTTTCCTGGTTTAAGGTACCATTCCTACTTGCCTTCAGGGGACATCCTCCTCTTGGAAAGACAAAAGATACTGTACAAACTATGCCTTGCGAAGTAGTTAAGTGGACCTGTTTTGGAATGGTGCAGTGACTCAGTATATACCTGGGTAAAACACGCCACCCTTGGTCACTGTCGATAGTCTGTCGTGTCACTGGAGGACAAGCTGCCCACAGGCTTCTCCTCCTTGTTTTGGACACTTTCTGAGGCCAAGACCTGAGAAGGCGATGTGAGTCCTCGGGGCTGTTTAGTTGACTTGGTGAGCTTCTTGAATTCACTGGCAAAAGATATGCCTTTTCTTTTGTCTTCTCGGGATGCCTGTGGGAAAAAAGAACCTTCCACTGGTATCAGGTTAAAGCCAGAGTCCTCAATCACATGACCCTATATCAGAAAGAGCCCTTTCTTCTTCCCTCTCTAGTACGTAGAGCTTTGGAAAGAAGGGCTGATGGACACTCATCTCAGGACTCCTTAACCACGGAGGGGAATGCATTTCTTTTCACATAGTGAAAACAAAGCCAGACAGTTTTCTCCCAGCTAAATTCCTTGACTCAGAAACCTTCTAGATTTCACTAACTCCCACATTTGATTACACAGTGTAGTCATGAATATCAAATTATTTGTGAAGAGAGTGAAATAACCTTGAACTTTACCTGTACCTGCTCCTTTAGCTTAAGGATGAATTTTCCTGCACCTTTCCACTTGCTTTGTGCTTGAAACACACACTCCTGATCCAAAAGGACCCGCTGGGAGGACTTCGGGGTAGAAGACTTCTTGTTGGTCGTGTCTTTCACTACCTCTTCCAAAAGCACATAGTCACTTGGGTTGGGGTTGCTCAGGATGCTATAGGAATATTTGGCTTTGCATAAGGTCTGAAAGATAAGTTATGATCAACTGAATAAAGACAGTATCTCCAATATTTGGATTCATTCTCAATGAAACTTTAAGGGGGAAAAATGTCACCGACTTTTAGAGAAGGAGGGGATCTTTCAGGTCACTTCATCTCCTCCTCTTAGATTTGCATAGTTGTATCTTATAATGTACTTTCCCACGTTACTGCATTTAGCTTCACACCAGTCCATGATTTAGGTATTATCCCCATTTTCAGACAAGGAAACTTAAGCTTATAGAAGTTAGGCAGATTCCAGAGGATGCGCAGTTAATAAGTAATAGAATAAAGACTTGAAGTGGATTTTCTGCATGCCCCAAAGCTCAGACATGAAGGTCATGCAGACAGTGAGGGACAGAATCCTGACCCTCAGGAGTCTCTGTGCCACTTCATCAGTGTTGGATGTTGAAAGCATTTTAGAACTTACCTGGTCTCACTGCTCATTGAGTACAAGATTATCTTTCATTTGTGCATTTATTCACTCATCAAATGTTTAGTAAGAACCTAGTATGTCCCAGATATTGTATTAGACTTTGGAGAGACAAAGATGAACAAAGGAAACATATTTCTGGGCCTTCTTGGAGTTCAAAGTCTATTACTAGGCTAATATTAACCAAATTATCATGTAATAAGAATAGCAAATAGCACTTAAGTAGTCACCATATGCTAGGCATTGTGCACCTTACATATATTTACTTACTTAATCTTCACAACAACTCTGTGAAGAAAGTACTATTACAGTATTTCCATGTTATCTATGTGGTAACGTACCACATTCTAGTATGCTGGAGCCAACTGGAATGGGCTAGTGAAATCAGACGTGGTGGGAGTATTTGCACAACAGAAATTGGCAAATGCTACAAATCAGGGCTTCTTTTTCTTTTTTTAAAGAGAGCCAGTTTACCAGCTAACCACTGTTACTAAGGCACAGATGGTTAAACGACTTGCCCCAGATCTCGGAGCTAGTAAGTAGACCTGGGACTTGAACCTGCAGCAAGCTGCTCTAGAGTCTGTGCTGTTAAGCATTATGATATACCACTTCTCAAACGGGTGTTTAATGGATGCCAACCAGGACAAGGCTTCGAAGGAGGGCAGTACAGTTCTCTGAAACCATGTACACAAAGAAGCATGAGCTGGAGGAGGGGAGAGTATCAGAGTAGGCTTCCTGCATGTCCTCTGAAGGACTCTTGAGAGATCATTGGTCAATAATCATTAGGTATTGGCTTAGGCATTTCTGGGACAATGAAATTACTACTCTGCAGAGCCGTCTCATTAAGTCCATTATTATCAGTGCTTCATAGGTAGTCAGACTCATAGTAGTTCCTAGGTAAGTGAAGGAATGAACTAATGAGCTGTCAGCGCATAGACATAGGATCTGTCCCAATTGTTTCCACTGAGGAAAGGACTGAGGTGAGGAGGGCGAGGCCTTCACCTGCTGAATGACGTCCTGCGCCGTGCTGACTCGAGGCGCTTTGATGACTGTTCGAGGTTGCTCCGGAGAAACGTCGTGCACTTGGACAAAGAAGCTCTCCTCCTCCGAGCTCAGGATCACCTCCTTGTCCTCTGGAACAATGTTTTTCTCTTCTAGGTTCTATGTTAGAAAAGATTAAAAGTCTGAGTAAATGGCAAGATCATATAGAATAAGGAAAGAAAACTAGCAAAAATTTGAGATGGATCTTGGCAATGTGGGAACAACTTCTTAGCTTTAAATTTCATACGCTAGTTAATATTTCATAAACTATTTTAAAAGGCTTTACATGTCTTCTGAGAGCAAGAAAGGACTGTAAGTATTTCTGCTGATGTTGACAGGCTGATAAAGTCTGGCCCAGAACAAGCCAGTAGATCTCCTATTAGCTGTGAATTTTGTGTCCAAGTCAGCTGTAGATAAATTTGTAAGAAGATAACATACCATTTTGCCAATTACCAAAAGCCAAATAAGAACACAGTAAATTACATTTAAGAGAAATCCCACCCAGTCCCACACAAACCTTGAGTACTTAAGAAATGCTAGACATCTGAAATGTGAAACATGCAAAATTGACATTTCAAAACCTACAGTGAAAAGGCTAAAACAATGACTGGAGGTAAGTAACACTGAAATAAATATTGAAAAAATTCTCAATAGTTATGAGAATTGGTCATCAGGTTAAGTGGCTGTTGGCTTTTAGTGAATTTTACATATATAATTATACATATTATATATTTAGTTAGATATATCTATAGTTCTTATTAAAAATTTTCAAACAGTAAAGAAATATATCAATAAAAAGGCAAACTTTCCCCCAGTCTCACCATTTTTCCTTCTCTCTCCCATCTTACTCTTCACAAAAAACCCACTGTTACTAGGTTATATATCATAAACATCTGCTATGGATATATAAGTGTATTTTTGTGTATGTGAAGAAATATATACAATGATACCCAGTTCTTTGTTAGGTCCATTCTCAAATGAGGGTATTACAGTTGTCTTCTCCAAGGGGGAGGCATGAAGGGGAAGGAGAGGCAAGGCAAGTAAACAATAGGCAGCCTCAGCTCAGGAAGTGAGCATTTTGGCAGGAACATCCTCCGATCCCTAGCATTCTCCTAGCCTAATCTCAGATCAGGCCACTGAAAGGTGCTAACTACCCAGAAAAATCCAAGAATTGCTGTCCTATCCTGGAGGTTCCAACCAGCCACAGGACTCAGAATTGTCCCCATTGATATTAAAGGCAGAATGGATAACTGCCACCAGGTGGCGCCAAACTGCAGCCAGCACCGGAAAGAACTGGCTCCTGGAGCTTGCCAACCAGCTGCACAGGCTCGCCCCAATCATTTCATCAATCTTGTAATCATGGTCCCTACAATTTACATGACTGAAGTTTTTGGACCTCATTCATTATATTATGGGTTGGAGGGAGAGTTATTGTCTATTACATAAAATGAGATCATACTCTACTGCATATACTGTTCTACAACTTGTTTGTTCTCCCCAGTTAAAAGACTGTGGTGTTCATTTCATGTCAATTCCTGGAGATTCTGCAGCATAATATGTCACTGCACCGATCATCATATATTTAACCAATCAGAGAGTGGGGTTGGGTGGTAACTCACATGACGTAATATATAATCTCAGAGTCCTGAAAACCAGGAAGCAAGCAAGCAAGAAAAAAGCAAGAAAGGTTCTAAGTTGCCACATAAAATATCCCAACCCCCATGCACTAAGCATTACTTCTCAGAGCTCTTTAGAGCCTCACTCAGAGCTTATTTATTTTTAAGGAGTTTTCAGCTGCAATAGAAGCCACATATTATCATGACCATAACAACTCTTACTTGCATTGTCCTTTATAACTTACTAAGTATTTTTCTACGTTTTGTCTACATGTTTGGCATGAGTCTCACGATCATCTTTTTGAATCAAGCAGGGTAGTTTCCATTATAGATTTATGAATTAGGGACATTTACAGAAGTCAGATGAGCTGTCCAGGATCATCTAATTTGTGGCAGAGCCAGGTTTGTCTGATTTCAAGGCCAGCAGGTATCAGAGGGGGCATAGTGACTGTGGGAAGAAGTGATACCTGACAGCCTGAGAGCCCAGGAGACAAGAAAACTACAAAAAGAGGGCAGGAGAGATCAGAGGTCACAGATAGCAGTTTGGGGACTTTTAACACATGAGCAAGCTGCTTACATTATCTTACTAGTTCCACAGAGTAAAATGAATGGAAATACATATAGTCCAAATCTATCAGCTATGCTAGTGTCTGCTAACATACAATAATTACTGAATTCATTTATTCAAGCAGTAAACAGTTATTGTGTGTTACTATGCACCAGGGAAACCTAGATGCATTAAATGTGGTTGGGTATCTTTTGAGCTATAGTTCAGTCATTTAAAAAATCTCCTCCCAACAAAGGCATATCAAAGAGAACTTGCTATATTCTACACATCAGAAAATTCTTGTTAGCCTTCCCTTCTAATTTGCTTTCCTTTTTCTCAAAAGTCTTCTCTTCCACCAGTTTTATTAGACATTTATTCCTGACGTCTCTACTGCCCATTGTCATGTACATTTAGAACTGCATATGGGCATCCCTCACCTCCCAAGGCCTTCCAACCATACGATGAAGTCCCTTTGTGACACTCAATAGCTGGCTTGTCTTTCCTCTTGCCCACTGCCTGGGTGCGGATGATCCACGAAGACTGACACCACTCCAGCCTGGGCAGCACAGGATGGTGGAAAGAACACTCACCTGGAAGCCATAAGACGAGTTCTTTCTACTACTGACCGTGTCACAATTTAACCTCTCTGAACCTCAGTTTCCTTACGTGCAAATGGTTTCCATTACTTCACGAGATCATTCAAAATAGTGAGTGAGGGAGAGCTTTAAACACTGTAAATCATTACGCAAACATATGGTTTAAAAAATTCACTTATTCACTGAGATTTTCCCATACTTTTTATACAGGTGCAAAAGACAATTATAAATAGGAAAAAAATTTAGAGAGAAATTAAAGATGGCTTCAAAAGTCCAGCTAAGCCCTCTGATATCTTCTCATAAAGCTATTATTACTGGAACTGCTTTTTCTCTGTCTTAGCAATTTGTATGTCTGATAGGGAGAGAAGGCTGGGGAGACACTTACATTTCTTTGCTTAAATGAAGTGTCCTTTTATGGCCTAAGACAAGGTTAGAAGGGAAGGCAGTGGCTCTGGTTCCCAGAGGAGATGTCGGAGTTCTGTAGAGGCTGCAGGCCATGTTCACAGTTAAGTAGAGAGTGAAAAAGTAACATGATGCTGAAAATAGGCTCTTTATCGTCTGTATTGTGTCCCAGCAAGCATAGGCCACCGATGGAAATTTTACCACTCAGGCTCTCTTACATGCCCAAAAGGAGCAGATCATGTGCCCAGAACAGGGCCCGGCACAGATGAGGTGCTCAATAAATATTCGTTTAATCAGACTGTTGAGCTGACTCAATTGCGTCACTATTGACATATCATGAGGCATGACTGTCTATGCTGGAACGATGACCTTATATGTCATTTTCAAAAATGGCACTAAGGGTGTTCTTATCAGTTTATTAAGAAAAAAAAAGTGCCCCATCAACAAACCCCAACAGGAGCCAACCCATCTGGAGCTGACAGGGCAGTTGTCGTATTGTTTCCTTTATGGGAAGGATCACAGGAATATTGGTGAACATTATAATTTTTTACAACTTCTGACAAAAGCTGAGAATGAGTCTTACTTTGTGTGAAGTTATGGAATGTTTTCAAAGAACTACTCTTATTTTACTTATAAGCACAGAACGTTTCATTAACTAAAACTTAAACAGGCACTAACAGGAAGACATCCGATCCCAAAATGCAAAATGCCTACAGGCTTTCCATCCCACGGTACTGTGGCCCGCACCACGAGGTCTTCTCACGCGCACAGACAAAATGCTGACCCAGCGCTGACGACATGCACGAGGAATCCTTTGAGTTCTTGCTCCCTTTGTTTTATAGGGGATGATTTTTAGACGGAATTTCTTTAACTTAGAGACAACATTCTGAATATGTGCAGAAAAATAAAATCATTCCTCCACATTCATTTAAGATGCATAATATAAACCAAGTTGCAATTACAAGGAATTCTGAATTTGAGGGAGGTGGCCAGTGGTGAGGCGGTTAATTACAAACCGAGCGTTACTGTGTAGGCTGCGCCAGGACACACTTACTTCCTGCTGGGTTTTCAAGACAATCCTGCCAACATATCCTTCTTCTGGAAACCAGCTGCTTAAAATCTGCATGATCTCTTCTTCTGGACCAATGGCTCTCTGGAAGGGTTGTTTCCTGCATTCATTCTTTTCTTTAGATATGAAATATTTTTCTTCCATCAAAAAATAGTCTGTGGCAATAGGTTTGGTGTCTTGTTCAGTGGCCAGAATCTAAAGAAAAATCAAAGGCAAATTTAGGCGCACCTCTGAGGAGTGGGCAAAACTTTAATTCAAAACAAGTCTACTGGGGCCGGCCCCGTGGCCGAGTGGTTAAGTTCGCATGCTCCAGTCAGCAGCCCAGGGTTTTGCTGGTTTGGATCCTGGGTGTGGACATGGTGCCGCTCATCAGGCCATGCTGACGTGGCATCCCACATAGCACAACCAGAGGCACTCACAGCTAGAATATACAGCTATGTACTGGGGGACTTTGGGGAGAAGAAGAAGGAAAAAAAAGAAGATTGGCAACAGATGTTAGCTCAGGTGCCAATCTTAAAAAAAAAAAAGTCCACTTCCACAGTGTTCAGATAGGTTTGATGTGCAATTTATAAATGAAACCTACTCTGCAGTGTTGCATAATTCTTTTGGAAGATTGAAGAATTCTCTTATGTCCAAAAAGGATTGTTTATGTCCATTCTGGGCAACGACACAATTTATTCACAATCCCCAGACAGCATAACTATTTTTCCCAGTGCTGGAATGAGAGCTCCTACTGAATTAAAAACTTTAGATCTTTCAATCTATGAATTTAGCTCTTTGTAATCTTGCAACATAGGACTGAGGGCAAAGAACCTAGTCCAACTTTTACGAAAATAATCTCTTTTTCTTATGTTGGAAATAATCATCTTCGAATCTCATCTGATCTAAGTTCCTGAGAATTCTCCTTTCAATAAACTCTTGAAGTATGCCTAGAGGCCTGTTTTCTTTGTTGGCTACTGACGCTGGGCCGTCAAACAGAGTAGCTGAGACAAGGCTCAGGAGCCAGACAGATTTGGGGCTGAGGTCTGCTTTTAACACTTATTGGCTGTGAAGTGTTGGGTAAGATATTTAACCACTTGGAGACTCAGTTCCCCCAGCTATAAAATGGGAACAGTAAGACTAACAACTTCTTAATTTTGTTTTGTTTTATGATTGAGGCTCTGGTTATAAAGTATAACACGGTCACATTACAAGACTCAATAAACACTAGCTGTCATTATAGTTACTCTTACTGATGTATTCTTTCACACTCAGATTGTACAGGTTACTGACAAAAGGCTTAGTGGACTTACTTGCTGGAGAAGCTGCTTTGCCTTTGTGCCTCCATTTATAGAGAAAACAGTAAAGGGCTCTGGACCAGGGACCCCATGCACCGTGACTCTGTGAGTCTGCAAACATTTTCTTTCTTCTGTATTAAACATCTGTCAAGGAAGATCACATGGTTTCTCATTCATCCTCATTCTCAGATTATCTCTAGGCTATATTCAATACAGAGGTGTTAGTTCTTAGAAGTATGTACAGGGACATGTAAATGCAAAAGAATGGCATCCTTTTATAGCCTGATGCATCTTTTTGTGATTGAAGAGGCAATGGTGCGTCTTCCTTCATGGCCTACTGAGGATATTTAGTAGCATACCACCAAAATATTAATTTATTTTAAATAACAATGTCTCTTTCCATCATAATTAGGGGACATATTATCTGAAATGTATGTTGGTCCTTATTTGTTAACTGATATTCAGCAGTGTCTATTGAGTTCCATCTTTCTTCAGGGCATGGGGCTAGAATTTTGGATGGTAAGATGATAAATAAAATATTCTGGCCTTAGGGAGCTCACTGTCAAAGCACACAAATAATTATAATACACAAAGCATTTCCAGTAGGAAGAACTGGGGAGGTGTGTAACTCACAACTATTTGAGCATTTTGTATCTTAAGATACAGTCATTCATTCAAAACACAGTCATGTGTAGCTTAACAACAGGGGTACACTCTGAGAAATGTCTCATCAGGCAATTTCATCATTGTGAGAACATCATAGAGTGCACTTACACAAACCTAGATGGTATAGACTACTACACAGCGAGGCTATATGGTACTAATCTTATGGAACCAATGTCATATATATAGTCGGTTGTTGACCGAAACATCATTATGTGGCATGTGACCATAAAAAATAATTTATGGAGGGCTGATAGTGAATCCAGCATTATGCCTGGCCCTGGGGATTCAGAGAGAAATGGGACTTAAGGACTCTCAGTTGAAAGAAACAGCTAGAAGAGAAAGTGGACAATTGTAAGAAGCATGGAAGGTCCTTGGGAACCCAGAGAAGGGGGTCTATCCCAGGTTTGGAGGAAGTCAGAGTGCTTCCTGAAAATGGTATCATCTGAACTAAATCTTCAAGGTCCAGGGTGACTTGGCAGATGAAGAGTGGGACAAGAACATCCCAAATACTGGTGTAGCCTGTGTGCAAAGACTTAGAGGGAGCCTACAGCAGAGCATTCTGGGAACCTCAGTGAGTTCTGTGACTGAAGTGTGGGAGAGGAAAAGGCTGGAGATGCAAGCAAGAGCACAATCATGTATGTCTTTTTTTTCTAACTGGCTAGAAAATTTAGATAGAAATGGGCAAAATGGTCTAAGTGTTTTGTTTATCATACATTTTATTTTTACTTGGAGGGTGGGAGAAGAGGTTTGCTGTTTTGTTATGCTTGCACAATCTATTTTTATTATTTAATCAATTTTATTGAGATATGACTTGAATACCATAAAATGCACACATTTTACTTGTATGGTTTAGCCTGCATTATATTTTTAAAAAGTTGAAATAGTTGCGAACATTTACATAAATCCAGATGTCCTGACTCTCTGGAAAACCAAAAGATCTGGTGATGCTGCATGGCAACAAGCTGCTGGAAGTGAGAGCAGGGTAGCAGCTGCCCCTTTAAACAACCCATGAGCTCTCTGCTTTCCCAGTCTCTTCCAAGCCCACTTACTTATAAACTTTATCCTGAAAGCAATGGAGAACCAAAAAAGGTTTTTTAATAGACAAGTGACATCAGCAGATTAAGTTTGGGGTAAATCTGTCTAGGGGGCCCTAAAGGAGGACAGAGGGAGATTAGCTCAGAAGGGAGCGAGACCAGTTAAGAACCCACTGCCACAAACCAGGTGAGAATGAATGAGGGCCAAGGCAGTAGGGTTGGATAGACATGAATGGATTTGAAAGATACTAAGGAGACAGAATTACCAAGTCTTAAGTGGGGTGATGAGAGGGAGAGAGAGAAGTCTAGGATGATCTTCAGTTTTTGGCTTGAACAATGAAGGGTGATGACTTTCAATGTCAAAGACCACATGTTTACTAAGCATATATAATCCTGCCTGGGATATACCAAGGATGGCATGGTGTGATATAATAAAAAATAAATATTTGGTCTTTGTGGTTCCTGGCACACGTCTCCTAAAACCATTGGAATCTCTGGAGTGATGAGTGTTTTCTGTATGCTAATGAGATGACTGATGGCTGGAGGCCCCTAGGTAGCTCTAGGATGAGACCTGGTCACCAGAGAGACCATGGTTGGAATGTTCAGCCCCACCTCCCGATTTCCAGGGAGGGGAAAGGAGCTGGGGATTGAGTTAAGCACCAATGGCCAATGATGTACTCAATCATGCCTAGGCAATGAACTCTTCATATAAACCCCCAAAAGATGGGGTTCTGAGAGCTTCTGGGTTGGTGAACACATGGAGATGCTGCAAGGGTGGTAGGCCCAGGGAAGGCATGGAGGCTCTGAGCCCCCTCTCCCCCATACCTCGCCCTATGTAGCTCTTCCATTTGGCTGTTTCTGAGTTGTATCCTTTATAATAAATCAGTAATGGTAAGTAAAGCACTTTCCTAAGTTCTGTGAGTCATTCTACAAATTACTGAACCTGAGAAGGGGGTTGTGGGAACCTCTTGAATATATAGCTGATCTGTCAGAAGTACCAGGGATAACCTGGGACTTGCAACTGGCACCTGAAGCAGGGTCAGTCTTGTGAGACTGAGCCCTTAACTTGTGGGATCTAAGGTAGGACACTGAGCTGGTGGCAGAGAGTCAGAGAAGTAGTGTATGAACAGACATCACACGTTTGGTGTCAGAAGTGTTGTGAGGAAGAATGATTCATTCACAGCATGTGTAGAATCTTCAGCCCTATTAGGTACTGAGGGCAACCATCCCAGAATTGGGCAGTAAACCCTTTGTTGCCCTTCTGAAGACATCTGATTCCTGCTCTTAGGTACCAGGCACCCCGTGCCTACTTCCCTGTCCTCTGCACAAGGTGGAGGCAATACCTCCCTCCACCTTGGCCAAAGTGCCCTTCTCAACCTTGGCCAAGCATTGAAGGAAAAAAGAGGAGAACCTAAGAAAACAAGGTCAGGGACAGAGAGAGAAGAAACTGACAAGGTAAGTGAAAGAGAAGCAGAAAAGACAGCAGGGCTATTTAGAGGCAGCAGTGGCAGTGGTCAAGCCAGCACCACTTTGAGCATATAAGGCGCCTTTTCAAGGGTTGTTAGGACTACGTTGAAGCATAAGGTTGACACAACAGTGATCAGACGATCAAACATGTAAAGAGGTAACCCAAGAGCACAGACTCTGCCTCTCCCCACGTGCCGGGGTGCAAGGTACGTATCCCCAGCAGCACCTGGCTGCTCACCCCAACACTGCTCACCTGTGACATCTGCCCCTGGACCACTGAAGAAGCAAAGGATTTTCCTGGTCCAACCTGAAGTTTCCAGAAGTATCAAGATGCTTCCCAGAAGGCTTTGCTTAATTAGCCTTTTCCCCGTGTTGTTATTTTGCCTCACTTCCCTGGCAGACACTGTACTGTTCCTGTTAAGAGTATGGGCTTTGGCACTAGATGAACTTGGGTTTACAGCTATGTGACGTCAGATGTACTCAGCTCTTACCTTCCTCATCTGTGAAGTGGAGATGATACTAATAGCTATTTCATGAAGTTATTGAGAGGATTAAGTGAGTCAGTATATATGTAAAGAACTTAGAAAGTGTCAAGTGTCAGCCATTATTATTATGATTATATCCATAGCTACCTAATTAGTGACTCTAACTGACCATGTTCCTGTACCACCAGAAAGCCTACCTCCAGCGTAGCAATCCTCGCCAACATATTGAGTGAAATAGAACTTAATTACCAAAGAGGACGGCACAGTATTGCTGGAGGAATTTTCTTCCATCCTTCTGCTGTTTATGAATAAACTGGAGATCTCCAAGATTTCATTGTGGAGGTTTCGTAGCTGAAGATGTCGATATCCTGGAATAATGCAGAATTGGGAAAAGTTTGTTAGCCATGCACTGCAGAACTCTGCAAAGAAGATACCCCAGGGAGGTCGATAAATGACAGGCAGAAATAAGACCTTAAGGGGGGGCGGGGGTGGCAACAGGCATGCAGCCAACACATACATGCCTTTTCACCAGGAGAATGTTGCCCCTGGGGACAGTATTGGCCACCTAGTGGTAATTAACATCTTCAGGTACTGTTTCTAACTTAGGCTCAAACATAAAATCTTAAATTCAAACAAAATATAGTTAGAAAACCTGATCATTTTTGTATCAAGGCATCTCTACAGTCACTGTTTTACAAAATTCCATCTTAGAATAGCTTTAGTGATAATAAAGTATTCCAACTGCAGAGAGTTGGCAAAATAAGTTCCAGTGTCCGTGTTTGTACAAGTATAAAATGGAATAATATGCACCCAGTAAAAGTGATAATGAAGATATACAGCTATTAACATGAAAAGTTGTTCACTACATACATACATAGTGAAGTGAAAACCAGTAAGTTGCAAAACATTAAGATTAGTAGGAAGCCTATTTGTTAAAAATTTTTACTATGTGCTAATATGTATATACATGGGCAGAGAAATAAAGCTGCAAAAGATCTACACCAAAAGGGATTATTTTGGAGAGATGGAAAAATGGATAATTAAAAAAAATTGGTTTTGCTTCTCTCTACTTCCTCATATTTCTGTAATAACTGTTGTAACCTGAACTGTGGCCTCCTAAGATTCATGTGTTGAAGTCCTAACTCCCAGTACACCAGAATGCGACTGTATCTGGACACAGGGCCTTTAAAGAAGTAATGAAGTTAAAACGGGCCATTAGGGTGGGCCTCACTCCAATACGACTGATATCCTTAGAAGAAGAGACTAGCACACAGAGAGAGACACTGGTTGCCGTGCTCACAGACTGAGGGGTGACCGTGTGAGAACGCAGTGAGTCGGTGGCCATCTGCAAGCCAAGGGGAGAGGCCTCAGGAGAAACCAAACCTGCTGACACCCTGATCCTGGACTTCCACCCTCCAGAACTGTGAGAAAATAAATTTCTGTTGTCTAAGCCACCTGGTCTGTGCTATTTTGTTATAGCAGCCCGAGCATACTTAGACAGTGACCATGTGCTACTTGCACAGTGGAGAAGAGAAACAGGAAAAGAAGAAAACATAGGGGACTAGAAGGTGCTTGTGGTGCTCAGAGGATGGCAGTCTAGGTGTGGTTGTGGGAGGAAGTACGCACTAGGACTCTAGTACTCAAAGCAGATGGGCAGGGTCAGCATCCCTGGGAGCTTGTTAGAGAGCAGAACCTGAAGCCCTACTCCAGACCTACTGCATCAGCATCTGCATCTTACTACCAAGAGCCCAGGTGACTCCACTGCACATCAACATTTGAGGAGCAATGCACAGACATTCTGGACAGGTGTGACAGGCTGAAGTTCCTGGAGGGCCACAGCAAAGCCAATCCGAGGTACTGACAATGTCCCTTATGAAGGACGGATCTGCCAGGCCAACAGCTCGGGCCTCTGCTCAGGGTTCTCTGCACCCAACACCCATCCTCAGCTTTCGACACTGGACTTCTGCCGGGTCCCGACTCCAACCTCGGCCCACTTATGCCACTACCACCCCCAACCCTCCCTCCTCTCCGTTTCCTCTCCTTCCTTCAGTTGCTGCTTTAAAAATGCTAGGGGTGTGGCGGGTGCTGCTTGGGAAGGGACGTGTGGGAATGAGAGCACAAGAACCCCTGCCTCGGACATCAGCAGTGGTGGGAGAGGCCATCTCTCCTAAGGGATGTCCTCTATACCTCAGATTTTAGAATAACGTAAAAGAAAAACCTCTTTCAAGACGTGCTTAAGCAGTATTCAAATTTGTATTATTTCTCCCTACCTCATTTAAATTTTTCGATATGAAAATTTCAAACATACCCAAAAGTAGAGAGAAGAGTATAATGAATTCTGGGGCATCCATCACTTAGCTACAAGAATTATTAAGATTTTGACAACTTTATTCTACCTCGTTTTAAAGCCTTGAGTGGAATGACCCTCTGAGCAGTTACCGCCGAGCTATTGTTTTCCACAACTGCAAAACGGAGAAATACGAGATCTTCAAAGTGAACCCGGAAGAGAAACTGTTCGTTCCACATGGGGTTCAGGGTATTTCGATGGATGGGCTTCGTGCGGAAGTGGCAGCTGTCCAGGGGCATGCCCAGGACGTCAACTTCAATACACGGGCTTCCCGTGCTGTTACTCGGGCACACGTTTTGACCAGAGACAATCTGAGGGGCGAAGAAAAGATCAAAGTCACTGAAGATGCAAAAGTAACAAAGGCAGCTCTGCACTGCACCTCCACGAAGAAACACAACGCTGGGTTGGATGAGGTGAATGATTAACAAAGCTGCTTTAGCTTTATTAAGAAGTAAACGATTGTGATCAGGGAATCGCGTGACTGGAATCAGGTGAGTCTGTTTTATCAACAGCATTCGCCTAACTATAACCTTTCAACTGTCAAAATGTTCAAGTATCTTCAAACAAGCAGTTAAGAGGAAATTAAGTTTCTCAAGAAGGCTCGAGAAAAGAAGACCTTAGAGATGTCATCACAGATTTGTTACGTTCTGTTCAAAATGTTTTAGGTGTATATTTTTTTTGTTTTGTTTTCGTGAGGAAGATTGTCCCTGAGCCAAGCTGTGCCACTCTTCCTCTATTTTACGTGGGACGCTGCCACAGAGCGACTTGATGAGCAGTGCTAGGTCCGTGCCCAGGATCCGAACCTGAGAACCCTGGGCCGCCGAAGTGGAGGGTGCGAATTTTAACAACTACACCACCGGGCCAGCCCCAAAATGTTTTAGGTGTGTATTTTACAACTTCAAAGTCTTTTTCTTGAATTGTGTAGTTTTGGAGCAAGTCACAGGGAATATTGTTAAAAATTAATTCATAGCCTCTGTAAACATGAAGCTATACTCGAGTCTAGCTAAAAGGGTCAGAGAGAAAAGGCACTACTGCCTTAGTCTTAGGGAAAGAGAAAAAGCAGTTTGGGTGGTAGGGAAATCTGTGAGTGAGGTTCTTCCAGGGGTTTGAGGTGTCATGGGCAGAGGCAGCTCGACATTCTTCCTTTGGAGGTAAACGAGCAAGATCTAAAGATGGACAGAAGAGATAACTTTGTCCCTCGCGTCTTTCCTATCACCCATCGGGCGTTTTTTGTGTGTCAGCTTAAGGGGGAGTGAAAGAACAGGGAAATAAAGTTGGATGATGAGCTACTGGGGCTCAGTTGTTAAGGGCAGCCTGTGGAGTTTTGACAATCAGTTAATTAGGCAATAAAAGGAGTAAGGCAAGGCCCAGGAATGATGAAAGTTAACTGTAAGGAGGAAAGATATTTAATTGATTTCTATTTTGATGCCTGTTTGCCTGATCTTATGAAAGCTGGTCAGAGGTTAAGTTGACCTGCTCCAAGAAGGAGCTCCCCTTCTATGGGATACACTCATAGTCATGATTCTGAGAGGCCTGGAAGACAGAATTACCAGCATCAGTATGTAGGTGATGCAGGGAGCTCCTAACCCCAGCTGTGGGCTCTGGCAAACACGGTGCCAGGTGACAGCGTACCTAAACCGTAGCCACTTCTGAGAGGTAGAGAAATTCTTTTGGGAACTAAATCTGCATGAACAAAACTGTGACATGAGAACTTTGTAATACCTTGAATTCAAAACCAGTTCATATTCAGGAAGGCTTACTGTACTCTGACACTGGGGGCCACACTCACAGATAAAGAATAGACAGCAGGCTCCATGTTGTCCAGGTCTCTTTCCAAGGGAGAAAACTTCTGATACATGGGACAGTTCTTGTCCCACAGAACTGGGGGTTTCAAAACATAACCACAGCCACCGTTGGCCTCAAACATGGCAGCATTTAAATGCAAAGGGAGATCTGCAAAATAAACAAAGTCAATATTGCTTGTTACTTTGTCACTGAGATGTCATCTTATAAGTTTACTGTAAAGTTCAAAAGAAGTTTGGATTGATTTTCCCTAGGCTTCAGCATGAAGAAGAGATAACAATTCATTTATTCCATAGATTGATTGAGTGCCTACTATGTGCCAGGTTATATTAGGCACCAGAGATACAGCAGGTAACAAGGCACAAAATCCCTGTCTCTACGGGGCTCATAGTCTACAGGATACACCCAGTTCCTACTCCAGCCCAGGTTCTGCCACTTAAGGACTCCTCTTACAAATAAAAATTTACAACATCCATCTAAAAAAATCTTTGAAAGACCTCATTTTGTACTGAATTTTAGAAAAGAATAATGGCATTTTCTTAGCCCCATAAGCCAAACCATTCAGACAATGGTATAACCAATTCTTGCTTTTTCGAATGTAAATCTTAATAATCTAAGAAAGACAAGGAGAATAGCCAGAAGAACATATCTTTTCCTTGAAATCTCAATTTCAACCTATAAATTGAAATACTTCTACCTCTTTTTTTATTGTAGTTAAATACGAAAAAAAATCGTTATCCCATGTGATTCACATCATGTGCACAATCCCCTCATCCTAACTTCTGGAACCCTCACAACGGCTTCCAGTCTTTTGAGGCCAAATTTTATCTGGCACAGAGTTTTGATGAATGATTGGATTCCTGCACTGTTTTTAGGCTGTTCCACACTCAAATGCTCCTCTGATGGCGCAAGTCTGTATAAAAGTTGTCCAGATGAGCAAAAAGTTTATGAGATACACCTGACAAATGTTCCCTCCGATCGATTCCTTCCATGTGCAGAGTGAACTTCGCTACATGGACTAGCATCAAGGAAAAGTGTGGTAAGCACCACGGAGCCATGAGAAGCTGGCCTCCGCTTGTCTCCTGTGTAAAATTATTCCGTGTATGTGGGGTTGGCAGGGACCATGTGCAGGAATTCCTGGGGTAAGATGTCTTAGACATATCAAAGCTCCTTGGGCCTCAGTCTGCTTATCTATAAAATTAGTGTGCTGGACCCCATCTCTCAGGTCCCTTGCAGCTCCTACATGACTGATTCAAAGAGGTCAGCTGTCTTGCCTGCAATGGGAGAAAATTCTCTTCCCAGGCCACTCTGTGACAGAGGAGCACAGACATGGGCTAGGATGGCTAAGAGAGTGAAGCAGGCTAGCTCAGACAGTGTGGGTAAGGGTGAAACGGATATGTATTACTGACAAAATTATAGCAGCTCACGCTTACTGCCCTTTTACTATGTACCAGGCCCCAGTCTAAGCACTTTACGTGCATCGGTGTCTCCCAATAACCCATGAGGTAAATTCTGTTAGGATCCTCATTTTTATAGATGAGGAAATTAAGGCACGTGAAGTGACAAAACCCAAGGCACATAGCTAGTAAGTGGTGGATGCTAGCATTCAAACCCAGACAGCCTGACCCATAGTTCCCAATCTTAACTACTGAGCCACATAATGTAGATCGCACAGGGATGTCATAAAGATCAATGAGATAATGTGGGAAAGTCCCTACCTCAGCATTTGGCACATAGAAGGTGCTCAATAAGCAGAAGCTATTAAATTATGATTATGATAATGCTCATTTGGGTTTGAAGTCTGATTTCATTAGCATTGTGTCTATCCTTGTAGCTTTGTAAAACTTTAAAGCACTTTTTCTTAATTAAAATCTCATTTCATGATGCCATATGTAAAACAGATCCATATGGAGCTGCTCAGTTTGGAATAAAGGTGGGACCTCAAATTTAGCCCTCCTACTGTCCCCCAGGGGTGCTCCCAGAACTTCATCTAGGGCTATAGTTTTGAAACCCCTGTTCTAACCAAGTGCAAGAGTGTGCATGGGGGCCGGCTCCATGGTGTAATGGTTAAGTTCAGCACGCTCTGCTTCAGCGGCCCAGGTTCACGGGTTTGGATCCCAGGTGTGGGACCTACACCACTGGTCAAACCATACTGTGGCGGCATCACACATACATACTAGAGGAAGATTGGCACAGCTGTTAGCTTAGGGCTAAGCTTCCTCAAGCAAAAATATAAAAATAAAAAAAAGCGTGCATGAATCTGTGTACCCCACCGCCCCTCTAGTCAATGCATGTGATGCAGATCAAGCATGTCGTTAGCTTTATGATCTTCTATTCATTTCAAAACGCTGCATTCAGTAGACACCATTCTCACAATAATTATCCCTATATTTGGGGGCTGAGAAAGTCATCACAAAGAGTGTGACAATTATTCAAGAAAGCATGATAAATATTAATAGGAGCTTTTCTTTTGACTGGGGCTGTGTGTCTACTTACTTGTTGGCCTGGGACATGAGGCAGGAATCATTCTACCCCAGGAGGAAAGAACTTTGAGGGACTGTCGCCGGCAGTAACCAGAGTCTGCATGCCACGCTCAAGTGAGATTCCAAACTCAAGAGCTGGTTTTATTGAGTGTAGACCTGGGCTACTCCTGGTTCCAGATCACTGCAGACCTTCTGGGAGTGATGGAACCATTGGAAATCCTGGGATGAGATGACCCTAAATCCAGGAACACCCCTTTGGGGCATCAGGGTCCCCTGAAATTCAGGAAGTGGTAAGGCAGATGACCCATGGAACATATTTGGAGGCTACAGGGACATTGGAAAGGGGTTCTCTGTTATTTGGTTGGGATGTTTTATGGAAAATCAATCTCTCCCTAACCTGGGAATTCTTTTCAAAAATTTAAAATTGACTCCAACCTTGACCCTTATCTGTCTATTTGGACTTGCAATTCACAGAGAAGTACCTAGAAGAGATCTAGATAAAAAATCAAGAACCACAGGTTCCACTTGCAGTGGGGACAATCTGTTTCAGCTCAGTGCAGCATGCATTTATTGAGCATCTACTGTGTGCAAGGTACTGACCAGGTTCTACGCTCAGTTTGTGGGAATGAAGACCATTTTTACAGACGAACACACTGAAACTGCATGTCGCTTGTGCTTTGTCCAGGGGAGATGTTTAATCACTGCTTGCTGCATTGAATCAAGAGAGGTTATATGGCAGCCCTCCCTCCTGGGTTGAAAGGTTGTAGAGAAACTTGAGGATGAAGCACACAACACAGCCATCTGCCTCCCTTGAGTGGGGCACTTGAACAGGCATGCCCGGCTTGATTGGGAGAGAGGCAAAGGCTTTAGGGGCGAATGGAGGTCAAGCTGCAGCCTCAGTGTGCACTTCTGGATGGTGGGGTGGCCCAAGGAGGGGCAATTCCCTTGTCCCCTTCAGCTGTGCCTCCCATTGCCATCAGTGGAGCCAGTGTGTCTGCACCAGCCTCGGCACTTCAGGAGAAAGGGCACATCCAAAACCAAATGCATTTCCATTTCCTTGAGAAAACCATTTTGCTAGTTATTTCACTTTACTTAAAATATTTTGGTATCATAATAACCAAGGGCGCCAGCGGACACAGGGCTACAGACAGGGCCAGAGATGTGAACCCACAAGTCACTTGGGACATATTGAAAAGGAATTTTTACAACTTTGAAAATATTTCATTATTATTTCCACTTGTGAGTCCAAATCATACTGTTTTCATAACTTATCAAAAACACTTAATGACAGTTAACGTTTGTGGAACGCTTTCTATGTGCCAGGCACTAGGTTAAGTATGCTACTTCACCTGCATTATCTTATTTAATTTCAATTGAAAGAAGCAAATATAACAAGGGCAAAAAAATATGACTGCTATCTCTAACCACACGTCTGCAGAGTCAGCCACAAATGGGTGCTGCTGGCGCCAGTACCAGGTGGCCAGCTGGTCCCAGAGCTAAAGCTGTGGTTTGACCTTGGCTGGAGGCGGGGCTCTGCTGTGGTCGGTGGGTCAGCACAGTTAGTTAGGATCTGGTTGAGTTCACGTGAGTGGAATGGGAGGCTGCTTGATTGTTCAAAGGAAAGACTGTTGTTTTTGAATGAGATTCTAGGAAACGTTCCTCATCATCTTCTGCAGCTCCCCTCCTCTCATAACCAAGTGGAAACAGAAAGCTTTATCCTCTAAACTCCCAGAGTCCTTGAATTCATTATTAAAATTTATTATTTTTAATATTATTATTAAATTTATTATTAGTATTATAATTTATTATTATTCTGTGGCCTTGAGCAAATTAATCGCTCTGTGGCTTGGTTTGCTCATCTGAGAAAAGGGGATCATAAAGGCACCACCTCAGGGTTGTTGCCAAGATTAAGTGAGATACCATGGGTCAAGAATTCTGCATGGGGCCTGGCACACAGAGCATGCAATAAACGGGACCTCTTCTCCTGGACTTTTAGGCCTCCTCAGTTACCCCTGTTATGAGCGTCTCATCGACCACAGAGAAACACCACTACTTTCCCTGTTCGGGGAATTCACGTCCTCGTTTTCTTTGTGTTGGCTACTCACAGAGAACTGAGTGCTGACCGTTACTCTCCATTTTAGTCTCAAAGGGATGAGAAGAAGCTAAAAAGGTTTTAACTTGCAAAATGTTTGGAGCGACACTACTTTTTGACTGCGAGAACAGTAGCTTAGCAAGACTAAGTGGTATTAGGCAATCTCTGCCCCAAAAGGTCTTTAAAAACAAACTGGACACAGCCCTATCCAGAGATGTCTTATGTTTAAAAAGTGCATTAAAAAGGGAGCGGGAACAAGAGCCTCTTAGGGAATCCGTCAAGGTTTTTTCTATCGCCTCAACTCTGAAACATCAAGGGCACAATTCAGTATCAAATTCACTTCTGCTTTCTGTCATCTGTATTTTTACCCTCACATATGGTGTACCCCAGTCTGGAATCCTGACCCTTTTAAAAAAACGTGGTTTGTTGAACTACGTTTACTGAAACATAAGACACAAAGGAGAGAGGGGAGGAGGGACCCGCGTGGGTGGAGCAGGCCCATTACCATCTGTCTGGTAGTTGAGGGCCACAAGCTGTATCCCATGGAGCCAGAACATGAGAGGATTGGGGTTGGACGAGTCGATGCGGGTGGCGGCCGGGTAAGTCCTCAGCAGCTGACAGGCGGTGTGCTGGATCAGTTTCTGGGAATACCTGCGACACAGACGCTTGGCGGCATTTTCATTCAGCGACGAGATATGGTAACATTTGGGAGTTCTAATGATAGCGCTGAGGGACGTGGTTGGGTTGAGGGGGGAAGATGATTCCTCCCAGGCCTGTCGCATTCCTTCATAGGAACCTAAACCCCCCAAAAGATTAGCCTCAGATTAGTGCAGAAAACGTTAAATATTTTAGAAAGATAAACCTGAACGACATCCCAGTAAACAATCATAAACAGAACACATCAGAAAACATCTGGAGTGTTACTTGTGAGCGAGTCCGCTGCCTTGAAACAAAATGATAGCTAGAGAATTTTCAAATGAGAATAGCAACACTAACTTAAATGACTGAAGTCCTTCGCCTCAGTACCTCATCTGTCCTGTGGATATATTTGCACAAATACACAACAATGTACGTACAAGGGTCTTCACTCTAGCATTGTTTTTTACAGCAAAAAAAAAAAGAAAAGCAGGGCTGACCCTGTGGTATAGCAGTTAAGTTCGCACATTCTGCTTTGGCAGCCCGGGGTTCACCGGTTCGGATCCCGGGTGCAGTCTCAGGCACTGCTTTATATGTGGCAGGCATCCCGCATATAATGTAGAGGAAGATGGGCACGAATGTTAGCTCAGGGCCGGTCTTCCTCAGCAAAACGAGGAGGATTGGCGGTGGATGTTAGCTCAGGGCTAATCGTCCTCAAAAAAAAAAAAAAAGAAGAAAAAGAGAAAAGCAACAAAAAACCCAGGAAGCAACCCAAACTTTCTACCAGTGAGGAAGTAGTTAAATAAATGACGATATACCACACAATGGAGTACACAGAGGCATTAAGGAGAACGAGGTCGATATATGTGCAGAAAGCTATGTGAAAAGTTATAGCAAGTATAAAAGTTATCCAAGTATGTTGAGTTATATCCCATTTGGATTATCTTAAAAAGGATCTCATTTTTCTTGAACAAAACACAATAAACTTAGCAGTGGTTACCTCCGGGGAGTAGAACCGGGACATTGAGAATGGAAAGGAATTTTAATAATACTCTGTATTGTTTGAGTTTTTAACTATGAGTATTTATTACTTTTATAATAAAAAGTAATTAGAAATAAAATGGATATATCTTCTGGAGTTATAATGGTGAACAGGGCAGTTCCAAGAACCACTAGAATTTTCCAAGGTGGCTCCAATTTTTACCTTAGAGGCAAACACTGTTAGAACGTCTTCAGTGAAATGCCATTTTTTAGGATGTGAAAAGTGTAAACTGATAATATTTATATCATACAGATAATATGAACATTCACGAGAACAAAAAACGAATTAAAAAGTTCAAAGGAAGTGCTTAGACAGTAAAATATGGGAATCATCCAGCATGCAGAATCAAGCAAAGATACTGTCAGAAGGTGACTTTACTTTTTCCAGATGTTTTGTTAAACGATGCTGTCTCTCCAGGGCTCATTCTGCCCGGATTGTTGCCAAAAATGGACTTCCTGCTTTTCCTTTCTTTTCCTCTGCTAGAGCCAGATGCATTTAGAGTTGACAGGCCTGTTCCCATAAAATGAAAATAAATAAGCCAAAAACTACAGGCAAGGGAACTCAACATTTTCCATCCCTGTTAATGTTTATTTTGAAGTCCTACTACTCCGTCGTAACCTCATACAGAAGACCTACTAGCATTTTTAGCACCGATAATAATAGCATTGTAGGCAATTATAGCAAAGTTTTTAATCTCTGTAGGCAAATATGACAAGAACTGCATAATTAGGATGGAATGACCACAGAATCACCCACTTAATTGTGCACCAGAAAGATTTAGAAAAATTACATGAAGAGAAAGTGCTGCTGTCTATATGTAATTATCAGCCTCATTACTCAATTTGGAGAGATGAAAGAAAGGTTAAGCGCCTGAGCTTTAGGGTCATATTGTCTGGGTTCCATTCCTGCCAGCAGGAGCTTTGACTCAACATCTACCCTGTCTGTCCTCAGTTTCCTTACCTACAAAATGGGTCTAGTGATGGGAACTCACTCACAGGGTTGGTCTGAGGATAAAATGGGAAATATATTATGATGCTAATGATGTTTGACGGCTTCTCTTTCTCACTCCTAGTCCAGCCACTCCCTGGATCCTTCCTGTCTGGCACAGTGCCTGGTGCACAGCAGGAACTTCATAGATATTTGCCGAATGAGGAAATGAATGCATACCACGCAGGCCTGGCTCCGGTGCAGGGGGAGCGATTTAAAGGCACCAGGGAAGCCAGAGTTGTCTCCAGCCACTCCCACTGTCTACAATTGTACCATTAGAGTATTTTCTTCATCTGAAGCAGCATTCAGGGGGTCCTCTTTGAGATGAAAATACACCTTCCGAGAACATCATCAGGGAAGACAGGATAACAGAGTGTTTAATAAGAATGGAAAATTTGGGGTTTAAACCCTGCTCCTAGAGGTGCGCCCTCACACAAGTTACTTAGCCTCTATGAACCACTCCTTCCTCATCTGCAAAAGGGTTATGGTTCGGATTAAATGAGAGAATGCATATATATACATACTTCAGAGAGTATCTTGTTCAGAGAAAGTGCTGAGTTCATAGCAGCTGTGGGGCTTCTAAATTTTTTTTCTCTGAAGCATCTGAAACCATGAAGACATACAAACTTGGACTGGTCAGTTCTCATGCTTTATCTTAAGATTTTGTGTGAATTCTGCCCACTACACAATGAGGTAACAATGGATTTTCTCCCAGGTAAAACGAATGAGGGGCCAGAGTGTGGGGCTGCGATCCTTCTGGGGTTTCTGCACACATCATGGCACATGTCCACATCCCCCAGGGGTATGTGGGCCCTCCTGTGAAGAGCCTGGTTGCTTTCTTAGGGTGAGGCAAGGACGCAACAAAACAAGGGCTGGGTGATCAGGAAAGCGGAAGGAATCGGCAGAGGCCCAGAGAAGTAACCGAAGGAGCAACCAAGAACCTTCATCCGCCCCACAGGCCTGTTTACCAAGGACGATGACAACCATCACCATTTCCGGAGAGCCAACTGGTTCCAGATAGTGTGCTAATTACAGTCTCTACTTTACGGCTAATTTTTACAACAACTTTGCAAGTTGGGACTGTTATGTCTGTTTTACAGATAAGGAATGTGAAGAGCAGAGAAGTTATATAACTGCCCTAGTCAAGGTCACTGAGGAGTCAAGGCCACTGCCGCAGGTTCGTGATCTTGGGGAATTTACTTTACTTCTGGGGGAGGTCCTGCCACGTGATCTTCGCGGTGCCTCACCGCTGTGAAGACTTTTTTGCATGTGGCTCCTTGGAAGGGAACTGGGTTGGTGAAAGGTCAGCTAACGGTGATGACGCAGCAGACGTAAAATCAATAGCGTAGCAAAATGCACATTTTATAGTATTTTCTTCATGAGTGTCAAAACAAAGCATAATAATAAATATTTAGAAGGTATTATAACAATGATTCTGGCAACAGAATTTAGTTATTCTGAGAAAGGAAATAAATTTGGGGAAAGAAAAATGTAAGAAATTTCAATTACTAAAAAAAAAAATTAAAATATACCTATAAAGAATGTGTGCTATATAAACACTTCTGAAAAACAGCATGCTTGGAATTTTAAAAACAAGCCAGACAAGCCCCTGCTTAGCCTGCGCCTCAGATCAGAAGCTGGGCCAAATGACCTTTTGACGCTTCCACCATTCTCTATCGGTACAGAAACTTTATCTTTCATGGTGACTTCAACTATCTTTGGGAATTCGTGCTCTTTATTTACTCGGTGCTTGAGAAGAAAAGACAAAGCCAGCAAAATGGTTTGGGTACAGCTTCGGCTGAATTGATAAAGAACGAGAGAGGCAGCGTGTGAGTCTTGACGAGCGGTCCTCACGTTTGTTCCCATGATGGAGGACATGCAGGCCATAAGACTGACAGGAAGAGGATTCTACTCCATCCTAAGGACAGTTTCACTGGCTGCAAATAGGGTCATATTGTACTCGTGTGACAGAAAGTCACAATCTGTGAAACTAAACCTAAACGGCTAGGTTTTTGCGCTGCTTTGAAATCGCTGCTTGCTGCTTACTCATTCGCGTCCTCCGCAACAGAATCTGCTAGCAGATAAACAGCAGCAGCTGCCAAAAGTTTCAAAAGAATTCACAGGAGAAAATTTCAAATTGAGACAGTTCTATCTATGATGTTTTCACTTGGTGTGTGGAAAGATGACTATTACCTAGTTTTTAATAGCCCGACACCTCTGTCCTGTTTGCAGGGCAGAGTGTGAGAAATGGTGCTTAAGATAAGCCTCTGGAAGCCAGGAGCTGTTCAGACCATCTTGAAAAAAATGAGGGTTGGTATTTTAACTCCCCTCTTGAGGCCAAATTTATATACCCTGTTTACTAACATTTAGACAGATCTCCCAATTCCAGCTGTTTTCCTGTCCTCAGAAATCTTATGCAGGGGAATCCTTGTTCTTAGTATGAGATGAATTTTTCTGACTTCCATAGATTTATGGCTTTCCTGTCTGCCCTCCACCTCTCACTGTCCCATCTGTGGGACACGCAATCGGGTTAGCTCATTGAAGCACCCCTAACAAGAGAGGCAGGGTAGTGCAATGGTTAAGGGCAGGCAGGACTTTGGAGATAGAGAGGCTCTGGAATCATAGTTCTACCACTTAGTAACTGAAATGCACATTTTGGGGAGGAAGTGGTTTATCAGCATAAGTTCACTGTACTTTGTTATTAGTGCCATGGAGTGAATTCCAAGTCCTAGCGACCCTGCGGACAGCAGAGCAGAACCCTGCCTGGTCTTTTGCGTCATCCCTCATCTTCCAGTGCTCTGTCAGACAGTGCTCTGCTGCTATTCGTAGCCTTTTTATGGCCAATTTTATTGGAAATGAGTGGCCAGGTCCTTCTTCCTAGTCTGTTTTAGTCTGGAAGGTCCACTGAAACCTGTCCACCCTGGGTGACCCTGCTGGTATTTGAAATATCAGTGGCATAGCTTTCAGCATCACAGCAACACACAGCCGCCACAGTATGACAGCTCCCAGATGGGTGGTGCGGTTCCCTGACTGGGAAACAAACCTGGACCATGGTGGCGAGAGCTCTGAATCTTAACCACTAGGCCACCTTGTACTTCTAGAAATTGGGGAAATCTTCTCTCCCACTGAAACCCCATTCTTGGTCCTTGTGGTTTGAGTGGAGCTTCGCTACCCAGCTCAGGGATGGGACATGTGACATAGGCCCCAGACTGTCAGAGCACTGCATGCCCCTGGCCACAGGGCTGGTTCAGAGATGGGCAAAGGACCCACAAAAAACAATGAAACTGCTGCTGAAAGTTCTGGAAGAGACTCTTACACTGAAGCTGAATCTGGAAACACATAGTGCCAGCCTGCTGTGGCCACCTTGCAACCACAAAGGGAATAAAGCTAACACAGTGGAGGCAAAGTAAGAAGTGGGGAGAGAGGAAAGCCCTGGATCAAGCTGTACCTGAAACCTGTGTATCTCTTCATGTTTCAACACATGAGCCAATAAATTTTCTCTTTAAGTCCATTTCTGCCACTTTCAAACAAAAGAGTCTTAACTGATATACTCTGAAACCTTGGGGCAATTACTTCATCTCTCTCAGACTTTGTTTTATTTAAAAATGGGGATAAATCCACATACCTCATAGAATTATTATAAAGTCAATAAGATAATGTATGTAAAATACTTAGCACAAATCCTGGTATTTAACTGCTTAATAAATTTCAGCTATTAGATATTTGAATATTATTATCATTATTATTAACTGTTATGAAAATACATGATATGACCTGGAAAAATGAACATTTTATAGTATTTTCCTCATAGGCATCAATGCAAATAATAATAATAAATAAATAAATATTTAGAAGGTATTGTAACAATGATTTCAGCAACAGAATTTAGGTATTTTAAGAGCATTCACAATGCCCGATTAAATAAATAGCATATTTTTTATCTTTTGCTATCTTTAAATGTCATAGATGATATTGCCTACTCTTACCTGGAAATTTTACTGCTTGGCAATAGATGACCAGGTCAGAAAGCTCTGGTGCAATCTGTCTGCTTTCCTTTTTATTCTGAGGAAGATAAAATTCTTCTCCCAGTTCCATGTCATAAACCTATTAAGGGAAAAACGATACCAGTTTACACGGAAGGTGTATGCCACCCACCTCTGAATCCCCAAAGCTCTTTATCTGTTCCCCTCTCATGTCATCTGGGTGTTTCACCTTGCTCTATATTTGTCCTTACACATGTCGGAACACCTACCCTAGAACAAAAGCTTTCTGAGCAAGAGATGAGTCTAACTCACCCTTCATCTTCCCTCAGGGCATAGGCCAGTGTCTTAAATGTGGAACAGTCAAAGCATGTTTGTTGAATGAATAGATGATTGATTATGTATCTTCTGTGGCTCAAATTTTTGAGATATTTTATTATTTTGTTCTTCAACAGTGTCACTGTAATTATGTCTGTAGATTTGCTCAGAGTCTATATAATGTGAGGCACTTGAGAACAGGGTCTGGGTATTTCATTTCTCTTTCTATTCTCAGTGTCATTCCTCTGTTAACACTTCACAAGCTGGGCCCTGTTTATCTTCTTGGTCATCCCAAACAACTTTAAAACTTCTAGCAATTCCGTGAACGTACCACGCTGTCCTCTTGGCCTGAATGCCTTGTTTTTGTCTGCTTGGCCATATCTTCCTTCTCCAACATCATCTTCCCTGATGCTCGAATGACACTGTGTAATCATGCTCTTTGTACTTATCTACAAGCACTGTTTACATCTTTGTCTCCATCACCAAACCACCTCCTGCGCCACCTCAGTGCCTGCCACACAATGTACCTTCAGTAGGTATTGGTTGGATGAATCAATGACTAACCTTCTACAAATGGCAGGTGGGTGTCCCATATCATCACCATGTGGGCTTTGGCATCTAAGGGAAAGTGAGGGGAAAGGTGAAGGGAAGGGACAGGGAGGGAGTGAAACCTACAAGAGTACCGTGGTCCAAGTGTAATTTATCAGAAACCATTCACCTACCTTTCCTTTGTTGCAAGCAGAGTTATCTGCTTTCTTTATCCTCTTGGGGATTTCTTCATTATACTCAAACTGAAGCTTGTCATTACATGATTTATTTTCAGGTCTGTCTTCTAGAATGTTGTCTGAAAATGAGTTGGCAGGCTTCAGTGAACAAGAACCAAATGCTTCACTTAAGGGCTACGCCTACATCATTGCAAGGATACCCAGACACTCGTGCTTATCTGTCAGATGGAAGCTCTGGCTACATGTTACCAAAAGGATGGCTTAAAGTATAATTTTTTAAATTTGTTAAATGATATGTTTATTTTTTATTGAACGGACTCATTTACTGGTAGTTTTGGTACCATACAGACATAATGTAAAGGTGAAGGCTCATTTGCATACAGATGATTGGAACTGTGCCAACGTTCTGGAAGACACCCTGTGTCCGGAAGCTCTCAGCACACGAGTCTGGGAAGGATTTAGTGGTTGAAGCACTTCTGGATGGTGCATACATGATTTAATCACTCACTTTAAAATGAACCTATCAGCTTCCTTTATCTCTAGAAATGTCAAAACCAGGGGAAAAGAGACATTGTTATCTGCAATGCAATTATACTTAACTGGCAAGTAAAGTTTTCATAATTGTTTATCGATTTATTAAGTGAAAATCTTAAGGATAGGAATTAAAATATATCTAAAAAAACCCTAAAGGATGACAGATAATCTTATACTTTGCTCTTATTTTGATATTTCTATTCAAAAGTACTTTAAAGGTGTTAGAGCTATATTAGGATTATGTTCTTTTAAAATGGAAAACAAGAAAGCTCATTTCTCACCCAAGATTTACTATCTCCTAAGACCACAAACGCTTAGACCACAGTGTCCTTCTGTCACATCAGGGCATGCAGACTGCCAAGAAGTAAATGAGACCAATCATTTTTTTACATGTTTATTCACATAAGTGTCACAACTTCATGCTAATCAGGCCTAAGAAAATGGAAACAGAACACCGACATTCATGCAGTTAAAATGCCAGTTCAAATGGCTTTACCTTCCTGACTGTTAGGAGCAGGAGAAGCAGTAAGGACATCTGCTACAGAAAAACAGAATCAGAAAGGGATGAAAGTAAGGAAAATAAGACAAAACGCCAGGTAAATTAAACTAAGGTACAAAGCAAAGCACAAATAACAACAGCTTAGATTATAAAGTAAATGAAACAAGAAATCTTCCATCAATTTAACATTTTGACTATTAAGAGATGCAAGGGCTAGCTATAAAAGAAGTGCACACATACTAATGTTAATCAGGCAGCCACATTCACGTTACATACTTGCAGTTACTGACTGTCGTAATACTCCCAGTAATACATTATGTCAAATGCATAGAAATTGATTAATTTGTTAGAATCATGCAGTCTTATCATAGAATATGTCTATATTAAGTTGAAAATTCAAATCTATATTCCAGTGCATGTTCAAAGCTAGTTAGGATAAACAGCAAGATTGGGAAAAATTAATCTATATTTCTTTAATGAAATTTAATTAAATATTCATTAAGAACTTCTTGGCCAAAAAAGCAAGAGCAGCAGTTTCTGAAATACATGAGCCTCATTTGCAACTTACTTTAGATTTTCTGGAACTAAATTTGTGGTTAGAAATCATCACATTTTATAGCCAAAAGAGGCTTTAGACGAATTCTCTCATTTCATAGATGTGAAAACGGAGGACTAGAGCTTTCACAGAGATAAACTGGGACACCCAGATTCTAGAGACGGGTTTTTAATCTGAGATGCCTGCGAGGGCCTCAGAAGGTCTGTGAAAACCCCTGCAATTTTATGCAGAAATTTGAGACCATGTGTATTTCTCTGATCACAGCTTCCGTCTCATCCTCAAAGGGACCCATCATTACAAGAAGCTTAGAAACATTTGAGGTCTCCCTAAGAAGCTGGCAATGGTCCTACCCACAGCAGGTAGGTTGCTATTTTCTTCTCATCTCAGTTGCAGAAAGTGAAGATGGTAGAGGGAAGCAGAGATGAGTGAGGCACCACAAACCACAACCAAAAGTCAAGATTGAAAGGGCATTTAACAGTAGCATAAGGAAGCCTTAATACAACGAGCTTAAACAAGTCATGGCATAACTACAAGGCCTGTTTGGGAATCAGCCAGTCAGAGGAATCCTTCAATGAAATGGGAGATAATCATGTGGTGGTAGTGGATTTAAGTTATCACAGATCATAAATGTTAGTGCTAGAAGAAGGGAGACTATCAGTCAACGTGTAACAGAACCTGTTCATTACACATCTGAGGGACCTAAGGCATAGAGTGGTGACAGGACATTGCCTAAGGTCTCACGGTCCACTGGAGCAGAACCTGGTGGGAACCCTTACCATGTACCTCACCCCAGCACATACGGGTTTTAAAAAAGCATGCAACTATTAGAGAAATTCAGTGGAGGAGGGTTTAAATCTTACTCTGCTAACTGAAAATAAGTCAGAAAGATCCTTCCTCTACCTGTTCATTTTATTTGCATATCAAAAACTCCTATAATAATGCTACTAATAATTAAGAAAAGCCTTCACCTTTCTGTTCTCAAAAGTACAGAAAAAAACACAGGGGTACTTTATGATAGAGTGAGTTTATCTCCCACTGTACGAACTTCTTACAGGGGCAATGACATCTGGATAGATTCATTTCTTAAGTGTGGTTTTCATTTCTGATCTGAATGAATTTGTTCCTCTATGGGACAACATCACCACGACTGTAGTTGAGATTCACAGGGAAGAATAAGTCAGTATAAAAATATTCATATTCCCATAACTTTTCAGGAATAGGATACAAGAAATTATCGTGACTCTTCTTCATTTTCTTCCTCTCTCTAACTCCCCATTAGAGAATATGCCCCTTGTATTATGTGACAGGATTTCAAGTCAAGTAAATTAGCTTTTAGTTGATGGTATGACGCAATCAACTATTACTAAGGACGCATATTAAATGGACATAGACTAGTATCGTATTTGGGGGCGGAGAGAGACCGGACAGTAACTGCTGCCATGATGGCGGCTCGTGGAACTGAACATGACTAGGAGACCGTCCTGGAAGGTGAGAAGCAGAGAGTTGGAGGAGGGTAGCTTGGCTGTCTTAATGCCAATGGCAAATGATTGCTGGTCTGAGCATATTAGCATATTAGCAAAACAATTATCCTACACAGAAGTAATATTTCCTACAAATATAATGTTTATGCAAATACAAACTTTGGCATTTTTCATTACTACATTGTTTTCTTTTAGAAGTTGCCAAAATGAAACAGGCTATCATTAGTAATAGTACCTGAGAAAACATTTTGCAATCTATAAGAAACGACACTAATTTAGTGCAAACGAAACACACCTGAAACCTAATTCTCCTTCACCTATATTCTGCAGATAACATCATTCATGTGACTTTTTTGTATTGCACCATTAGCCAACACCCATGTTTTGTCCCTTTGGTGGGGCCAAAGGGAGATGCCTGGTTGGCTTAGCAATATGAGAACCAGGAAGGTGGGGGGTGGGAGAGGGAAATGATGCTCTTTCTTTTCCATACTCCTAGAAAGCAGATGTGAACACGGTGAAAGGGGGGGGCAGACAGCTCAGAAACGTGACGCTGCCCCCTGCAGGTGGTGCAGGAGAAAGAAAAGATTCACCACAGTCTACAATTCCTGCCAAGAGCATCAGGCATGCCAGAAACTGAAAAGGTGAGAATGGGGTCTCTCGGCTGTAATTCCACCTCTTCCTCTAGAAACTCACTTAGGGTGACCCCTGTGTTGCATCCCGCACCCTCCTCTTCTTTCCTTGAGTGGTGGCTGTAGTGGCTAACAGAATCCCTTTCCTTGCTTGGTCCTTCTCGCTAACTGGCAGGATTCAGAAACTCTTGGACAATATTACAACAATTTGTATTGTTAGTCTATGGAATGCCAGACATTTTTGAAAAAAAACATGACACCAATGAAACCACCAGAAAATCATCCAGGCATTTCCCTGTGCATAGCATAGGGTTCTGTTTCTCTTACCATCAGAGAGGGATTCATAGTCATAATCATATTCGTCCTCTTCATCTTCCTCTTCCTCGTTATTAGCAGGTGGAGGGTTGGCATTCCCGCCATTATATGCCTGAGCTTGCATGGATGCTAACTGATGAGCCTGTAAGGTATATCAATAATTAAAGACTGCAGATGCTAAGCTACTGACCTTTCATTTATAGCTTTCAAATGACCATCGAATGCTTACCACAGTCATTAAAAGTGGCTTATCCTATTTTGATTCATTTGGGAAAGGAAATAAAAATCTAAATTCACCTGAAGTACAAGGTTAATACTTGGGTGAAAGTTAACATTCTTACAGGAGGAATCCTGGAGCTTTTAGAAACAATCACAAGGAATCACGTGTGGTGCCCAGCCAGCTGGGTTCCCTGGGGCAAACCCTCCAGGAGAACCCTTGGTGCTTCAGAGAACCACCACCAATCCCACATGATGAAGAAGTGAATTGGCCCATCAATTTTGAAAAGTAAATCTCAGCTAGGAAACAGTTTTTTCTTTCCTTCTTAAAATAATATCTAAAGGCCCCTGACCTTGAGAAAAATGTTAGAATCCCTATGGACAAAGAGACCAAAAGAATAGTTGGTTTAAATAAAGTTTTTCAACAGACTTCATCTAAACCATAAATCAGATGAACAAAATAGGCTTAGAAACTTCCAAAAACTTGATGTGTGCTGCCAGGGAGATCATGTGCCTCTGCATCCGACTAGAATTACTGTGACGGGATATCACAGGACACAAGAATAAATATAGGTCTGGGAACCTAGCTTAAGGAAATAATCTGAAATATACAAACGTTCCTTGCCTGAATTAAAAACAGGAAACAATTCAAAAGTTCAACAGTAGAGGAGTGGACTTAGTAAACTATGGTATATCTGCTTCAGAGAATGAGCCATGAAAAAAGAATTGTGATATATATTTACTGAACAAAGGCTCCAGAATTGTGTGTGTAAATATAATATTAGGCTCCAGAATTGTGTGTGTAAATATAATATTTATACATGTAGATATATACATATATACATGTATCTATGTAAATATATATACCATTCTATATTCTTTGTTCAGTATCTATATATATCTCTCTATGTATAATGATTGTACTAATATAAAATGACATGCTTCAAAAGGCTGGATATTAAATGTTAATATAGCAGGGATTCTTGTTTTTTTTTTACAGATTGGCACCTGAGCTAACAACTGTTGCCAATCTTCTTTTTTTTTGTCTCCCCCCTGCTTTTCTCCCCAAATCCCCCCAGTACATAGTTGTATATTTTAGTTGCGGGTCCTTCTAGTTGTGGCATGTGGGACGCTGCCTCAGCATGGCCTGATGAGTGGTGCCATGTCCGTGCCCAGGATCCGAACCCTCGAAACCCTGGGCTGCCGAAGCGGAGTGTGCGAACTTAACCACTTGGCCACGGGCCGGCCCCACAGCTGGGATTCTTGACCTGTTTTTGTGGCAGACCCCTCTGGCAATCTGGTGAGGCAGGATCCCTTCTCAGAATGACGTTTTAAATACATAAAATACATAAGATTACAAAGGAAAAAAGAATGTTGAATACAGTTATCAAATGTTGGAAAAAATGAATTTGTGCTATGGGAATATATGTTCCTTTATTAACACAGTAAAAAATGTATAATGGTAGGTCAAGTAATGTTTTTGAAATAGTGATTAACATAAATAATTCTCGGAAATATTAGCAACTACTGTGATATAATATGAAAAAGCTGTGATTTCTATTGGTGACAAAGACATAGATGGGTGCTGCCAACATTACTGTGGTTTGCTCCCTACATCTATAATCAGAAGAAATGCTAAATTTCAGAGAGAGGCTGGCGAAAATGAAGATGTAACTTTTTTTGTATCTAAGTTCATGGACCCCCTGAATTCTTTCTGTGGATATTACCAAGGCTAAGAATCCCTGAAATATAGGTTGTGTTTGGTCTTGGAATTATGTATGTTTTAAAATAATTCTCTGTTCCCTAAATTTCCTGAAATGTGGTTATATTACCTTTACAATAAAAATGTACACATAAGGAAGATACAATTTAGGCTATGTCTACAGCCAGATAAATATTTGACCATGCAGTCCACTCCAGATAACTGAGCATTGTCTAGGCTGGGATTTCTCAAAGTGGGGTTTATGGAACACTATCTCCATGGGTGTTAATAGCTGTTATGTAAAAAATGACAAAGTAACCACAAAACACAATGGAAGTTTGGAAACAGCAGCTTAAACAAACTGAAGCGCATTCCTACTACAGCGTTTCACATAGCCTTCATTTAATATGCTAAAGCACATCATGATTCTTCAAAGATCTCAGCGCAGCATTTCCCACGCTTATTGAACCAGGGAATTTTCTTTTCTTTTTTCAGAGTGTCTCATAGGATTAGCATTCTTCAAAAGTCTGGGAAATCTGCTCTAGGCACAAGTGAGCCACAAAAGCAAGGCTATTTGTCATGGACAAGAGAAAGTCCTTGACGTAGCGAGCATTCAAGGTAGGCCGAGTGCTGGGAATGATGATGCAAAGAGCTTGGTAGGCCCACTGGCAGAAAAGTGTGAGAACTGTATGCTAGGCGTGGTGCCATTCAAAGACTCACAGACTAGCAATGTCAGAAAGTGGAGTGCCAAGGTCTGTTAGGTGCTCAAATCCTTCCACCAGTGCAGGAAGTATGGAAGTATGGGGGAAGTGGCCAAATGAACAGCCAGGAGCTGACATCCTTATTCTTTGCAATATCCTATTTATTCTGAGGCAGAAAAACAGGACCCCAGCTCTGAATAGAAGCAATTCAGATATAAGTCAGGGGGTTAGAGTGAGGGGTCAGATGAGGAGACTGGCTCACATGGGTCTAGACAGGAGCCATGTCTTACTCTGCTCTGTTCCCCCAGCACGTAGCACAGTGCCTGTGATCTGGTGTGAACTGTTTGAATCTAGCAGAGTGGAAGTAGGGAGACCAAGGTGAGAATACTGGAGACCTGGTGGAGTATAGTTAGGGAGCATCTGTAAGAGCCTCAGCACTAGCCTGAGGCAGATGAAGGGCTTCAGAAATCCCGATCTGAGTCAGTCCAGCCTTGCTGAGGGGGAGTTCCCTGTGTGGAAATGACCCAGGCCTTCTAAGTTAGGGGTTCCGTCTGTGCACACCCAGCCTCATGTGAACTAACATCACTAGGTCCAGACCCACAACCTGCCAGGCAACTAAAAGGTCTTACAGATACGACTGTCAGTCCAGAGAGGAAATCATGGGGATTGGAAGTGATCTTAAACAAGCATCTGGAAATGGCATTACATTGTCCCATTTTTCCAGAAAGAGGAAGAGGTAAGTTGTGGAAATCATAAAGGAGGAAGTATCAAGGTGATATTGGGCAAAATTTCAGAATGAATTAATTAGTTGGTTGTGAGAACACAGAAAAAGAGGTGGTTAGCGGGAGTTAGCATGAGTTTACTAAGAACAAATCTATCCAGTAACCTATTTAGACTTTTTGGTTAAGGTAACTCACTTTGTGGGAAACAACAGATAAGCGGTCTTTCCAAACTTCCAGGATGATTAGAAGTATTTTTAAATAAACAGATTGCCAGGCCTTCCTTGTGGAAATTCTCATTGAGTTGGGCAGATTTGGGACCCAAGAATCTATGTTTTCAGAAGTGTCCCCGTAATTCCTATTAATGTATTCTGAAACCTGTGTTGCCTTTGAAAATGTCTTTCCTGAAGGTCTGAATCTGCCACTATGAGCTGGGTGGCTTTGAGAAAGTCACATAAGTGGCCAGATCTCAGTTTTCTATTTTATACCTAAAGAATTTGAAGTGGACTCTGGAGAAATGGGGGCTGTGAGAGAGCAGAGCAGTAGACAGGAGGGCTCATCACTTAAACTCCAGGGACACTCTATAAGAAGGGCCACAGGGCTCTCCACTTAGCTGCCTGGCTCAAGGGCACCTTGGGATGAAGGCACAATTTGAAAAAATGCAAATACACACATCAAAAATCAAAATTCACAAAGAACACTGTATGCTGCAATAACGTACCAAAACCAAGAAGAGCAAATATAACAGAGATAAATATGAGGCTCCTGCGCACAGAAGGTTAAAACTCAGTGTAGACCTGGGACAATGAGGAGACTAGACATAAGAACAGTCCATGTGAAAATAACTGAATACTTTTTGTTTTCCACAAACTCGACATGAACCTGGTGTGTGTTACAGAATTTTAAAAGTGGTAATAGTCCTAGGCTGCATTAACTGAGGTATAAAGTTCAAACTAAAAGAGGTGATGGTTTCACTGTCCTCATGCTGTCACAGACCCTGTCTGGAGCATTGACTTAGTTCTGGAAATCATGTTTTAAGATTGACAAATCCATGAATATCCACAAATTTAAGAATATCAAAATATTTTTAATGGAAAGTGAAAAGTCTTAGCAGCCACATCCTTTGAGGAACAGTTGACACAACAAGAATGTTTAGCTTGGAGAAGAGAAAAGCTGGTGGGGAGACACATGCTAGCTCTCTAGATACAGAATTAGTCTGTGCAGCTGCAGAGGGAAGAAGCAGTGCCAAAGAGTAGGAGGAAGAGGAAGGAAGATTTGGGCTCAACATAAAGGAGACTTCTGTCACAACACGATCTATTCATTAGTGGAAGGGAGGCTGCAGAAGTAACTGTGAATAACTATGAAAGGAATGGGAAAGGCAACAGCTACGAGAACTTCAAACACATCTGGAAGACCACAGAGGTATGCAAAGGGAAGCTCTATCTTCTTGGCAGTGAGGAGTGGGCAGTAGTTGCTGGATAAAGAAAACAGCACGGAGGAACAGTGTGGTAGAAGAAAGAGTGCCCAATGGGCAGGCAGTTACTGATGCAGCACTTCAGGAGGGCCAGGCATTAGGGAACACATGCTAATATTTTAGTCAAATGACTTCATAACACAGCCCATAACCATAGGTCTCATGGCCTCTGGAACCTAAGTAAATGCCAGGCCTTCTGCAGCAGCTTTGAGCGTACAGATTTGGACAAAGGTAGACCTAGCTGAGGCCTCAAACTGGAGGTCCTTGGGACTGACCACTTCCAGGCCAGACTAGTTTGGCTGGTGTCGTGTTTTAAAAAGAATTTAATTAGAGCTGTTCATTTATGAGGGCATGCACGCTCCACTCATGTCCTCACCACTTCCAACTGTCATATATCCAGCTGGCTCCTCATATTTATGTTTCCTGCTTGGCCCCTGAAGGTGACTGATTTTGTAACTCGTGGCATAGAGCTGTGTGTGATCTTCAAATGGGTCATGTGTACCTACAGGGTATGCAAAGACTTCTGGGGATGTGCAGGTTCATATATTTTTAAAGGAGTCAATTTCTAGACTCAAGATTTTCCACATCTATGTGTACTTTTCTAGAAATAATCCTGCCTGAGAACAAGCTTATGGTCAGCTGGTTCTCCCTTCGCATCTTTTCATAATTGCTCTTCTCCTATTTTACAAAGGAAATCATAACTCTCACTATCAATCAACAATCTTATTGTGATGCATGAGATGAAGTGAAAAAGCACCCAAGGCAGCAAAAGGACAGTTAAGAATGTAGAGCTCCTGGGGGCCAGCCCCGTGGCCGAGTGGTTGGGTTCTTGTGCTCTGCTTCAGCGGCCCAGGATTTCGCCAGTTCGGATCCTGGGCGCGGACATGGCGCCGCTCATCAGGCCATGCTCAGGCGGCGTCCCACATGCCACAACTAGAAGGACCCACAACTAAAAATGCACAACTATGTACTGGGGGGCTTTGGGCAGAAAAAGGAAAAATTAAAAAAAAAAATCTTAAAAAAAAAAAAAGAATGTAGAGTTCCTGACAGACAGTCTTGAGAAACTAAAGATGGGAGCATTTAATTTCATCCAGGCACCAAACATGTGCAAGGCTCCATGCCTTATCTGTCTGTCTGTCTATCTATCACCTATCTATCTATATATCTTTCTTCCTTTCCCTTCCTTCTTTCCACTGTCTGTCCATCCATCCATCTATCTTAGAATTAAAATTAAAAATTGAGATGGTCATCATAGGGATTATAATACAATGTTTATAAATTGAAAAAATAAAGTCAGACTTTTTCTGACCAAAGGTAAGTCTAGCTGACTGGACTGATTTATTTATAAGGACTGTTTTTTTGTATATTATGTTTGTATGTAATTTCTGTTATCTATGATATATTTGTGTATAATAAATAATATGTTTGAAAAAATGTCCTTTGTAACTATTTAAACTTGTGATAAGATTTTTCATGTCACCTTAAAAATGTATAAGGGGGAAAAATGTATGAGAAAGGTACATGGTTTTTCAAAATTCTTTGAAAGGATCCTTGAGCAAAAAAAGTTTGATAAGCCTGAGGTACTCTAGTTAGGGCAAACCTGATCATAGGAATCTGCTGGGCTGAATGGGTTCAGGGTCCCTTCTGTAAATATCTGCTTTTCTGCTCAGAAGCGTAGGTCTCAAGATGATGGAACCTCTGGCCTCCCCTTCATTCTCCACTCTAGGGCATCTGAAGTAATCCGGGCTTTTGGTGAATCACCAGGGTTACTAAGTGATATAACATAAGCCCCTAACACTCGCCTGGACTTTGGGCCACCTGGAATCCTGCCGTGGGTGAGCCGGACAATCTGGGAATTCCCTGGTTCTTACTAGAACAGCAGATGACAAGATGCTCCAAAGGGCCTCTCAGAGAAGCAGTAATGTTCTAGAATGGCAAGAAACACTGGAACTAGAGCCAGAGAAGTGGGATAATATAATGTTTACAGAGTGGTCTGCAATTCTGACAGGGGTCTCACAATTCATCTCGGGAGAGATATTGTGAGATTTTAGCGTCAGAAGGGTTCTTTGAGGCTAGTTACCTTAACATTCCCATTTCATAGATGGAGAAATGGAAGCCCAGAAAGACTGACTGGCCCATGGTCACATGGCAGGTTTGTGACAGAGTAAGTGGCTAGAACCTGGCATCTTAGCTCCACACCTAATGCTCTTTCTCCAATATCACACTATATATCCTTTGGCTTTAAACTCAGGCCCTACCCGAGATTTCTATAAATTAGAGCTTTTAGACGATTTGATGATTGTTCCAAATTGACTACTCAACTAGGTCAAACGCTTGACTCAATTCAATGTGACATTTTTATTAATGACTTAGGGCAAAGGTTCCTAATATCTTGGGCTCATAGAATCCCTCTGCTGCCTTCTCTTTTCTCTGGGGACCACTAAAGCAGGACTGGAGCAGGGCCTGGAGGCTTAGAGGTGATGGCAAAGAGAGAAATTAAAAGTTATAGGATGCCACCTAGTTTTTCCTCTGGACTGTTCTGTGTCTGGAGCTGCACCATTCTACCCCTGAAGGGTGCTGAGGTTCATGCAGCTTGCTGTAAGCTTCAAAAGTGGTGTTTTACGGCCAACAGTGCCCTCTTAAATAGGACAAAGAGTTTTAGCAGTTGCCATTCTGGGGGATAAGTAAGTGCAACCTGGCATGTGGACTTGTGGTCCTGGACCTAAACTTTTTCAGGGATCCTTGGGCTGAGGGCCATCCTACATAAGTGGGTTTGTGGTGCTTGAGGTGCAGATCTCCATAGGTGAGGCAGGTATGGGAGTGCCTTGGAGTCCACCTGCCACAGTGATACACTCTGCCACCTTCCATGCTGGGACCACAGGGCTGCTGCTATTGGGGTTCCACCAACGACCACAGGAGTCACAGCCCCATGTCCAAGTCTCTCCCCACAGGGGGCTCTCCCTACAGGGCACTATAGCAACCACTGTGGGATTGACAGCCAGGAACCCAGGTCCAGAGACAAGAGTCACACATTATCCTGCTCAGAGTAAATTAAATAACAGAAGTACATTCTACGTGGGAAGTCAATTCCACAAAATAAAATTTAAGGTGAGTGGGATGAGAATATTTACTGGTCTATTAAATGAAAAGCCAAAAATCAAATGTATCATTCAAGGAAACTCAATCTTCAAACACTAGTTTCCCACCAGGTGATCCAAAAGCTTAGAATGACATTAATTTCTTTGTTCTGTGCACACAGCCTACCCCTAGCCGCTTTAATAACAGGAGAGTACCTTTTGCTTTAAGATATCCACTGGGGTCTGATGGGCTTTCAGCTTCTTATTTTTAAGAAGCACTTTTCTTCTAAGTTGGTCAGGTGAGGGAAGCATTGGATCATCTGAGAAATCACTCTCAAATAAGAATTTAGCCACCAGTTTTTCTCCAAAAACAGTCTAAAAAGAATAAAGAAAAACACATAAGCAATGCCTTTTATCTATAATTCAACTAGATACTTCAGCACAGTTGAATTGTTTAAAAAATCCTAGGAAGCGGGCTGGCCCCGTGGCCGAGTGGTTAAGTTTGCACGCTCCACTGCAGGCGGCCCAGTGTTTCGTTGGTTCGAATCCTGGGCGCGGACATGGCACTGCTCATCAAACCACGCTGAGGCAGCGTCCCACATACCACAACTAGAAGGACCCACAACGAAGAAAATACAACTATGTACCCGGGGGCTTTGGGGAGAAAAAGGAAAAAAATAAAATCTTTAAAAAAAAAAATCCTAGGAAGAAGAAGGAGGAAAGAAGCCGTCCCTAAGCCACCAGGGGGAACGTCCTGATGCCCAGGGACCGACAGTGCGTCCCTCCCAGCTTAGTTTGCTACCAGCTGATTGAGATGATTGCAGTCTAGGTGCCACAGGACGTCACCACTGTGGTTAATTTCATAAAAAGACTTTTCTCGAAACTATTCTATTTCATAAAGAGATGAAAAGTGACTATGAAAATCTCTTACACCGCACAGAAGTTCACACTTTATATCATGAAAAAGTAGTTAAAGGAGTATTTCTAAGTTACACATTTTTCTTTAAAAAAAAAAGTGTCCTAAAATTTCTGAATTATTCTGCGTTTGCAGTGGTAGCAATACTTCGTTCTTACCAGATAATAATAATAATGCAAATAATAAAATTACATTTAATCTGGTCTTGTATGATAAGGGTAATGTTCTAACATTCAGTGAGAAATTAATTGCTTTTTAGACAAAATTTGTGTTCTGGAAGGAGTATTTTAAAAGCAGATGTCTAAAAATATTCCCATTGTGATATGATTTTGTTGTAGGAAACAATGTATGTTAACATAAAAACTCTCATATATGCACACTTAAGAAACATGGAAGCAGACTTTCTAATGGTTAAAAAATCTTACAAATGAAGGGTTTTTGTGGAGTTTGAATTCATTTGTTAAAAATATAAAAGGCAACACCTTTTCAATAAGTTTCTAAGAAAAACTGATTGATACCAGGAAACATACAAACTGTCTAGCCAAATTTCAACAAAAACCTTCGCATCATTAATGGATTTGAGAAATGAGTACCATGATTTGGCAAGCACAGCTAATGACGCCCCTTTTCCATCTGGATACACGTATCTTTGTAAGGTATCTTAATCAGCTACTGTAGCTAGTAAAACCAAATACCAAAATGACAAACTAAACTTACCACCAGACACCCAAGTCATTGATCACAAAGTTTAAACAAAAATTTCAAAAATAAAAAAGCATATTCAATCATATTACTCCCACTAAAAATTTAAGTAATAAATCAACAATAAATTTACTTCAATTTTTTTTGTGAGAGCAAAAAGGGTTTTGTACCATTAATAAATAATAGTATTAAAAATAATTCTTTACTTCATCTTTTCTATGCTATTCACTTTTATATTCTATTTTTTCATGTTTTAATAAATGTATAAAATATGTTAAGTAGGATATGTATATAATTTATAAATAAGTCAATAAATGTATAATAAGAATACATGCTATAGTATTTTACTGGCAGGGGTATACAATAAAAAAGGTTTAGTAAATGATGGCAAAGGAAAGACAATATGAAAGGCTAATTAGTTTTGTTGGCATTAGTATTTGAGGACACCTTCCCCTGGCAGTGCCCTCCCTCCCACTGAGAGCCATAGGTCTATAAATGCCTCTACCAGAGGGAGGGGGAAGTTCAAAGGAATACCTGCTCCTGCATCTGTCTGCATATAGTTTCCTTGTGTCAGGAAGGGCCGAGGTTAACACAGCAACTGTGCTGGCCAGTCTAAGGTCTTTGCCAATGTGGATCCCTCATCTGTAGTGTGGGCACAAGAAGATTTGACTTATTTGTCCTGGGATATTTTTAGCTTTCCTACATAAAACTGACAGGTGACATCCTGGCACCCCTGATTTGTGGTACCAGAAATGTTGGAGAGTTGGTCTGTCCTTATCTCCTAAGGCTTTCTGGAAATGGTCAGGAGACCACAGAACAATGCTCCTATCACTCCAGCTAAAAAGGTGGACCATTTGAGAGAGCCCAAGCTCCCAGAGCATCTCCATTTCTCAGGTCTGAGAGACCCTAATTGTATGTGCTTCATGGCTGAGGTCCAGCTGTGGTGTGGTCCACGGTGGCTCCATATAAAACTCAACAACAGCTGCAAGACAAAGGCCACGATGCCAAGATACATCTTAGTTAAAAGCTTACCTTGAAAATTTCTGCCATTTTTCGTTGCTGAGGCAATGAACAGTGGTTCTCAATTGATATGATGATTGGCAGGTCAGAGGTGATGAAGGCACTTCGATCAATGGCTTCAACCACTTCCTATGAGAGCCAAAACAGCTCATCAGAATTCAAGTATCTGTCCAGTGTGTCAGAAGGCAAGGTACTTATAGCCACAGAAAGCATCTAATTTGTTGTTTTCAGAAGACTCTGGCCAAAGCGGTTTTTACCCTTTTCAAACATATTTTCAAATTAAGCAAGAGAACAAGGCTATTTTCTATAAAGACATTAAACTGTTCATATTGAGTTTTGCTCACATACTATAAGGAACAGCTATCAGTATGCTGAATTTAACAAATCAACATATATATATTCAGTATACTATAGGTAAAAGACACTGGTTTAGTTACAGCATGAAAAATAATGAGGCATAAGATATTTTCCTACTTTCAAGCAGTGTATAATCTTCTTGGGGCAATAAGGCATATATTTATGTGTATATGTAAACCAGTTATCAACTCCCTCCCTCTATCTAGAGTACAAGAGATTTAACAGGGCTGCATAGAAAACTGAGTTCAAGAGAAAATGTATTTTAGCCACCATCTTCACAAATAAGACAGAAATAATAGTATGCCTTCCCAGCCCCACCACAGTTCAGAGAAAAATGATGTTACACAGCCAAAGACCCTCTGAAAGAGGGTAGTACAACGAATTAATAAACTACCTAGCATCTGAAACAATAATCCAATAAGACCAGTCTTCCTGGGTGACCAATTTCCCCGACGTGGAACTAATTCTCATTATTTTATAATTTTAATTATTTAATCATCTTCTAACAGGTGATGTTGGCCTTTGTCAGCAGGAAACCAGGACAAATGACCCTTAATTCCTATAACAAGAGAACAGCCCCTGCTGTTTTTGTTTTTTTTGAGGAAGATTAGGCCTGAGCTAACATCTGCTGCCAATCTTCCTCTTTTTGCTGAGGAAGACTGGCCCTGAGCTAACATCCATGCCCATCTTCCTTTACTTTATATGTGGGACGCCTACCACAGCATGGCTTGCCAAGTGGTGCTGTGTCTGCACCCGGGACCCGAACCAGCGAACCTTGGGCCGCCAAAGTGGAACGTGTGAACTTAACTGCTGCACCACCCGGCCGGCCCCAGCCCTTGCCTTTTATATGTCATCTTATGACATATGGCAACAACCCCATTACATGATAACTAATTTAAGGTAAGAGTTACTAAACTTTGGTTGGAGGAGAATCTAATGAGAGTTCTATAAATCAACTTCCAGAAAAATGAATATGTGCATATCCTACACAATCAATACTGCAAACAATCTCAGGAAGTCTTCAGACCCAGGATAAGAACACTTGACCTAAGGTATAATTTGATAGAATCACTGATTTAAACGATGAATGAAAACAATGACTTCATGATTTGATTTAAAGAAAGTTATGAAGTATTACCTTGAAGGGGATCTTGGTTGTCAGGGTATGTCCATGATAAATGATGGGCATCCCATCATCTCCATCCCAGCAGTCCAACTCTATGCTCCTACAGCCTTGCAGGAGGACCTGTGTGATCAATGAATGAATCCACCTCACATGACCAAATGGAGATAAAGCCTCAAATTAAACCCAGCACATGCTTCAACATATCAGTGTTCACATTCAGGGCTAACACAGAAGGGCATAAGATCTAAAAAAAAAATGCTGCATTTTGGCCACAGGCCACAATTAATCAGGGTAGAGAGAACAGATTCAGGTGGAAAGAGTGCTTATGGGAGCTGAATACTATTGGAAGGTAAAATTTGATAGCAAAAATATCTGACCATTTCCCCAGCAACTTTCGTCCCTCAAGGGACCTATACATGGCATATCCTGAAATGAGAGAGCCAGGCTAGTACTCTATCTGGGCAGATGTCAGTGGAGGTCAAGTTGCTGATGCTGCAGCCCAGAGGAAATGAGGCCACTGATTCCTAAATGAACTGGCCAAACATTTACATGAAGCCAGTCAGGATAAAATCCCCTCCATTTAGATCCAAACTCTGCCACCAGCTAATCCCCTTGCTATGACCATGTAGCATTTAAGAAGAGTAGAAACAAGGAGTTATCAAGGATTTGCTTTGCTGTCTAATCCCAGAACAGCATCCAGAGCAGAGATGGCAAATAATCCATAAACACCCCTCTCCCATTCACATAGCAGACGTCAGTAATCAATCACAGCACACCTGCCCCTAAGCTTTGATATATTCTCTCATGAACTCTTCAGCATAGTGCTCCAGGAAACACCACCAATGAATCAGATGGGATGATACCTATTTGCTATCCTAGATCTAGAGTTGGAAGCAGAGCTCCTGACACAACGTGCTTGGGTTGCAGCTTTGTAATGTTTGCTTGGAGCAATGTCTTCCTCCACAGAATCTATCTGTAAAAGATTCTGCATAGTGAAAGGGTAACTCAAGCCAAGAGGCGGATATATCTGTGAATGGGCTGACTCACTGATTTAAGAATCCACATAACTATTTCCATGAGACAGCAATCTAATACTAAGGGCTGGTGGCCACCGGACTTGCTGCCACAAAACTCAGACAGTGGCATCCCTCTTATTTTAATATTTTTGATGAGATACTTGCTAGATTCTTCCCATTGCACAGTATGCAGCATCCAATGTTCCTGGGTGACCAATCTTCCCAGGTGGACTGATTCTCTCGTCTAGAATCCCAAGGCTATCTATCAGCTTCTTTCATCAGCTGGAGTATCTACAGGTATATTGCTTTGGCCTGGAGATTGTTGTGTAATATGACAGCTGGAACATGAGGCTGCTTCATCTCTATAGTGAGCCTGCCATACTGGAAAGAACATTCACTGACTGGAGGCAGATTGGATGGTTCTCCAGCATGAAAAGACCAAAGGTCTTTATCAAAGTCTGCATGACTTTAAGACCTCCATATATGGATAGAAAAGGGAAACCAGGGCTGAAACTTCTGGGTGAAAACAGGGTTTTTTCTCACTTCCCATTCTGCCCTACAGAGTAATGTTAGGAGGTAATTAGGAGGGCAGAGGGAGGGTGATAAGAAATAAAAGAAAAGGATCTTCATACTAGGTTTAATCATGTCTGAGTCTCTTTGAGGGGTTCTTGTGCCTTATTCAAAGGCTATGACAATCTCTACTTGGGATGTAATGTTAATGAGTTAAAAAAAAACTCTTTGAAGTCATATAGGAAAGTGAAGTAGGAATGAAAGCGAGGACATTGGTCCTTGCTTATTTTCTTGGGAGCAACACATGCATGCATGCACACACACACACACTTCATTTCTTTCCCCTAGAACAATGGATTTCAAATTACTTTTAACCTTGGAATTCTCTGTGCAAATGCAAGGCCAATATGTACAGCACCTAAAAAAGCAGGCCTGCAGCTGCGGTGGGGGTAGGGTAAGGGACCCTTCCTACTCTACTGCTTGATCATCTCAGCATCAGCAACTAAGTCCCCTTGACAGAAGTCCTCTTTTGAAAATCATAACTACTCTAAGGACACATCATCATTTCATAATAAAAGTACCTTATATTTTAAATTTAAAAATATACATTCCATTATAGATACATATTCCATACTAGATTTGGGAAAGAAATTTGACCCATGCTTTGAGGGACATCTGGACTAACCTGGAGAACAAACGAACTTCAAGTCTGATGGGTTTGCGAAAACAATACAATTATCATTTTCACACTTGGACTCACACACACATTCACACATTTATATTCCCTAGACCTAGCCTAGTTCCTTCCCAATTAACTCTTCTTGTAGGAGTTCAGAAAACAGGCAGCGTAGACCAGGAAGTTGCAGAAAATATAAGAGAGAGTCAACTGACATGCAGATCATTGAGAGTTGGATGTTTAGGTCAAAAGGATGTGCTTTTTCCAGTCCAGAGAACCTACTGAGTTCCCAAGGACATTCCCATGAATTTAAGCGTGAAGAAACACGCCTACATTCTGTGCAGAATTTTTTCTTGAGTTCGTTACCATAGGGAGGGATTGATTTTCTAAGAAATTGCAAAGCAAAACAAACAATATTTTGGGAATAACTTTGTAGAAAGTTGGATTTCCTACTATGCCTTCCCACTACAATATATTGATTTATTTAGCATTTAGGGAAACAATCAGAAAATCTTCCCATGGGAAAATCTAATTTTAGTAGGAGTAGGTCAGACTAACTTGGGTCTAAAAGCTATGAGTTTCAAACAAATGCTTTTTTTTTTTTTGTTGCCTAGAATAAAGGTTAAGTATAGATAGAGGGGGAAACAAGAAAACAAAAAGAAGTAAAGAAAACAACTGGAGGTATAGGCAGTTTTCCCACACGTCATGTGTCCTCACATTTCACATGTAATAGTTTATAAGTTCTTCAGAGTCTGGGGTCAGGTTTTTGTGACTTTGGGGGTTACATAAATAAGGCTTAATGGAAACCACATTCCAAGTGGAATCTTAGTACCTGGCTGTAGAGTTCTACTGAGGATTCTCCTTTGAGCTGATGGCCTGTGAGGTAGGTATTGTGTGAAGATTCAATGTAGTAGTAGGAGAGGGGCAGCTGCAATTCTCTACTGTTCTCCTGTGACTCGTCATTTTTTGAGGCAAAATTATCTTTATCCATCAGAAACCTAGAGGAAACAAATTTTCTTAGACTGCCTGGGGAAAAGAGACACAGTTAAATGATAGGCAAAAGACATTTTAAGAGTTACCTTGCAAATCCTTCAAACGACATTAGGCCCTGATGACACATACTAACGCTGGGCTCGAACTTCTGCAAGGGATCCAAAAAGAGTGTTATTTAGGTAAAGGAAACTAAGGGGAAAAAACCACCACATCATTTTTTAAAGCTGTTCTGTTTTCATCAGGAAACATCTAAACCAAATATTTGAACTAATTCAGTTATGTAGTGGTAAGATGTAGTTTTTTAGTCCAAAAGAAAACATTTATTATGTGTGAGTTTATTATACGAAGCATATTTATTTAAGAGAAAAAAGGAGAGCGAGAGAAAAGAATAAGATTGATTTATACGAAAACAAACTGTATCAGTTTATACAGGTGAAAATGGGGATAGTAATAGCAGCTACCAGAGAGTTGGTGGGAGGTGAAATGGGAGGATTTTCACAGAACACTTAGTACGGTGCTCGTACTCGATAACGCTATAGTGCGCACACAATCATGTGATCATAATCTTACATCTTTAGCATTTCCAGTGATCCAATCCAATTGCTGGACAGCTAAGCCACTGATTTCCAATCAGGTGACAAGGGAGGTTGAAAACCTAGACTATTTCTGTTCCATGTGCCGCAGCCACAATGGACGGTCTCACCCCCCTATCTCTTGCCACCCTCTAGTTGAAGCCATCACCTTCTCTAGCCTGGATTACTGTGAAAGCTTCCTGCCCATCTCTCTGCTTCTATTCCTTCCCCAGCACTGTTTATTCCTGCTTATTCTCCCATGGGGCCAGAGTGACCTCTTAAAAAACATAAATCAAATCATATTACTCCCCTGCTCAAAAGTTTCCAATAGCTTCCATTTCACACAGACTAAAGTCAAACTCCTTACCATGGCCTAAAATGCCTAGAGGATTCGGCCCCTGCCTCCCTGTGTGGAATCAGATCTACCATTGTCCCTCTGGTTCATGGGGCTTCCCTCACACCAGCCTTTTCGTTGTTCCTCATAAACCCGGAGCTGGCTCCTGCCTCGATCTTTGAGCTTGCTATACCCTGTCTGCAATGCTCTTTCCTTAGCCCTTCACAGGGCTTCTTCATTCAGGGCTCAGCCCATGTGTCACCTCCTCAGAGTGGCTTTTGCTTACTCCTCACAGCCCTCCTGCATCACTCCATCCCCTCACTTTGCTAGATTTTTTTGAGAACTCATTATTATCTGAAATTACATCTTTATTTGTTTATTGTCTGCCTCACCCACTAGAATATAAGCTGCTTTGAGGGCCAGAACTTGATTTTATTTACTGTTGTACTTCCAGGTCCTGGAACAGAGCCAGGCTCATAGTATGAGCTAATAAATATTTGTTAAAATATCAAAGAGGTCGGAAACCTAGACGACCAATCCTATTGCATGTGCTAGAACAACAAGAAGGAATCATGTACCGATTCCCTCTAATAGTCACTGAGTAAGAGAAGGATTGGGACCCACGTTAATTATATGTTAAATAAGAACACATAAATTTGATATTTCAAAAGAAAGCCCCCAAAACCCTTTATTTCTGCCCCAGACTTAAAGGCTTTGGAAAGAAGTGTAGAAAGAGTAAATGTTTAGCAGAGAATAATTAGAATAGTCAGAGGCTTTACACATACATGTGCACAGGAAAGGGGTACAAACCTGGATGATGCTGAGGATTTCATCGTAAGTGCAATGTTCTCCTTGGCAATTCACTAGGAAGTCATTGAGCTGGAGTATGCCTACCCCAAATATGCCCAGGGACGTGCTCTCGATCCCAGTGCCGTTTGTCACGATACTTGCAGCAGCAATGGCATCGGATATCTGCCTCTGGTTGTCTGACAGCTGCTGTTTACTCTTAATGAACAACCCCAAATCCGAGACATTTCTGGTCAACAAATCTGAAACAGAATCACCCACAGAACATGGACAAGCTAGCCAGCATCTTTCACAAAGTTTATTTTGGAGATATTATTTTATTATATTATTTTGTGGAATTATTAATTATTAACTCTTCACTAATTTGTCTAAACAAGCGATCAAACTCAGTGCTTATCCTGGCTTCGCACAATTGAAGGAATAAAATAGCGAATCAATGACTAAATAAAAGAAAGTAAGGAAGAGCCAGGTCGATGATCTTGAAAGCCCACAAGCTGTGGTATTAGATGGGAACTAAATGTACATTTAATTGGGGACTTGAGGCTGAATTCAGAGTCTGGTTTTCGAGAATAGCTACTTCTACATTCTTATGTTTGCAAAGACTGAAGATGTACCCTTAAAATTAGAGTTTTTCTGCACTTTAAAAGTGTAATTATAAACATAGTGTGCAGGTTTCTGAGTGAATACAAGTTTTCAACTCATTTGGGTAAACACCAAGGAGTACAATTTCTGGATCGTATGGTAAGAGTATGTTTAGTTTTGTAAGAAACTGCCAGACTCTCTTCCGAAACGGCTCTTCCATTTTCTTACCAACAGAGTCCTAGTTGCTCTGCATTACACCAACTTTGATACGGCCAGTCATTTTAATTCCAAGCACTTTGGAAGACAGTCTGGCATTTTCTTTCAGAACTAAACGTAGGCTTACCATATGATCCAGTAATTGTATTCCTAGGTGTTTATCTACATGAGTTTAAAACTTATGTCCACACAAAACCTGCACACAAATATTTAAAGCAGCTTTATTCATAATTGCCAAAACTTGGAAGCTACCAAGATGTCCTTCAAAAGGTGAGTGGAAAAACAAACTGTGATACAGCCATACAATGGAATATTACTCAGCAATAAAAAGAAATACGCTGTCAAGCCATGAATAGACATGGAGGAACCTTAAATGCATATGGCCAAGTGCAAGAAGCCAGTCTGAAAAGGCTACATACTGTATGATTCCAACTATATGACATTTTAGAAAAGGCAAAACTATGGAGATGGTAAAGAGATCAGTGGTTGCCTGGGGTTCAGACAGAGGGTGGGAGGAATGAAAAGCTCGAAGACAAGGGATTTTTAGGGCAGTGAAACTATTCTGTATAATACTGTAACGGTGGATACATGTTATTACACTTTTCTCAAAACCCATAGGATGTACAACACAGTGAACACTAATGTAAACTGTTGACTTCAGTTAATAATAACATATCAATACTGGCTCAATTATAACACTATACCACACTAATGCAAGATATTAATAATAGGGGAAACTGTATGTATGTGGGAGAAGGGTATTTGGGAAACTCTCTGTACTTTGCATTCATTTTTTTCTGTAAACTTAAAACTGCTCTAAAAAATTAAAGTCTAGTAATTTTTAAAAAGTGAAACTACTTGATTAATCCATAATTATGCACATTTTATGACTAAAGTTGAAAAAGGTTAATATTCTTAGCTTAAGAACAATATAAGTTTTTAAATAATTAGAAAGCCACTGCATACAAGAGGACAGTTTTTTTTGGTTTTTGCTTTTTTGTCTTTATAGTTTCCCACAAGAGCAGAGGAGAAAAATAATAGGCTTAAAATGCATGGGTGGTGATGGTAATGGTGGTGGTGTGAGTGGGACCGAAGAATTAGACATTCTGGTTTACATATTAGGAAAAATATCCTGGATAGGACAGGAATGCTCTGTTGAGGTCACTAAAGATTTTCCTTGTCAAAGGACAGACAGCTCCCACCCTGGGGTTGAGCACCCATCTGCCTGAAGAAGGCAGAGAAGAGACTGATTGTTCTCATCTGGGACACACCACACACCCAGTGGACATCTGGAAATGGGTGGGAAAGGGTTTTGGTTGTCAGAATGACTGGAGGGCTCTATTGATTAAATATTCTGAAATACACGGACAGACCCACACAATGATGAATTTCCTTGCCTCAAATGCCAATAGTACCTGTCCCCATGACACCATGAAATCATTCTCTAAGTGTTTCACCAGCCTCCAGGTAACAGCATGCCACGTGGGACAGGCTGAGGGTTTGTGCGATTGGATCACATGTTTAGATAGAAAGATCTCACAGCGAAATAAATTGTTATACAAACCTAGGTCAGGCTGAAGACCGCTGGTGTTTTCATCGATTGTGAGGTTGGTGTAGAGCGGGGCCGACTCGGAGCCGGCTCGGTTGCATGGCACAGCATAGATGTCAAAGAGATCCTTCAGGTCCTTGCGGCTCCGTACACTGCGAGGAATGGAAAAGACCTCACATTGAGTATTGTTATAAAAATGTGGAGCTGAGAAAGGGTGAGAAGAAAGCACGCCATACCTGAATGATTTGAACAGCTCAACAAATTCAATGAAACTCATGTTACTGTCTGAAACCATGAAGCTCTGAAAGCCCTTCATTCCTCCTTTGATCCGCCCGTGCCAGCTGCTGCTGCTCCAAGCACTGCAACAAAGACACGGCCTTAATGGGCAAAACTGGGGCCAGCCTGGTCATTCTGCCCCAACAGACGTTCTCTGATTAGCAATACGAGCAAAAAGAGGATTGCAAGTCATTTAAGGTTTAGGGTATTTTCTAGATTCCCTTTTCATTTCTCTCAAAATTAGTCTATATTGTGTTAGAGGTAATAAAATATATTAGATATTGAAACCACTTCATGTTTGCAGCCTATTTAATAAGGCCACAAGGCTGAGGTTAATATTCCTCTACTAATCAAAACAGTTCTTTGAAGTCACAGGTCAATGGGGGAAGAAAAACATAAATTCAGTGTTTTTGAAGAAAAGTCATCTAAAAAAAGTTCAAAATTAATCATAATCTGTGGAAAATTATGCAGGTTCTTTCTTCTATTCTAAATTATAGAAACACATTTAAGAAGAAAGTCTTGAACGTATCAGTGTCTTCTTTTCCAGTTAGATGAAAACAGGGAAGAGCTTTTAATATTAATGGAAAATGTGAGTCAGAAAAATATTAGGAATGGAAAGAAGCCAACTCTGCCTAGGATTCTATTTGCACCTGCCAAGGCTGTCTCCAGTCAACATAAAAATATCAGTCAACGCTGTCAAAAATGTGTGACACCATTTCTTATTTTCTACCCTGGTTCCCTGACGGGATAGTATGAGAAATGTTTCGACTATGGGGTTTTTATCAGTGAACAGGATCTTTCTTTTCATCTTTGTTTTTGTAATTTATTTTTCCCTTTAGAAATATTTCAAATATAAAAGCAAGTATAGAGAATATTGTAATGAATAAACAGTTTACCCTAATGCTGCTAACAATGTTTACTCATGGAAAATTGTTTTGTGTGGACATCTGAAGGTCACCTTGGTTACGGGAAGAGTATTACAGACGGATAGGTTTATTTTACTTGGAGGCATAGGATGTTGATGCCCAGTGCGGTGTGGGAAAGTGGGCAGAGGTTCGGGAAGAGGAAAAAGGTCATTTAAAGAGGCTTTATCACTTACATTTAAACATGTACATTCCCTGTCTGCCTTCTGTTCCGGCCTCAGCTGCTGGCTGCAGGCACCCATCTCCCTCTGACTTTAGGAAACTATTTGTCCACTCTTTCCCCTTCTAGGGCTCAGTCTTGCTTTCTCCCTGAACAGCATTCGGGCTGGTTCTTCTCCCCCTGCCTTGTCTTTTTCTTCTGTTTTAGAATACTTGCGGGGCATGGACCCCCGTCCTCCTGTGATGGGGCCCTGTGATCTTACATTTGGAGTGTTAGTTTCTCCACTTCTACCTCTTTGAGAAGATTTTCCTCTTACTCTGTCCTTCCTTTTCCTGCTCATGAGTGACTGAAACAAAGGGAAAGGCCACTTAACCCAAGTTTTCCGGCGATTTTATTTACCTGGGATGCTATACAGGCTGAAATATAATGTAAAGAATTCTGATTCTTTGTAGCTTTTAATTACATTACAAACCTAAACCTACAGAAAAGTTTCAAGAGTGTACAAACAGTTCCCATGTACCCTTGATTCACTTTCGCCAAGTGTAGACATCTGAATGTATAAAGCCTAAATTATGTTCATTATTCCCATTGTGAAAGAATGCTTCCTTATAAAAGATGAGTCACTGTAGGGCTCTTATCAATAGCAAGCTTTCTTGAGAGAGAGAGAGAGATTATATGTGTGTGTGTGTGTAATTAATGTTTCCAAAGCCACTGTCCGCACAGACCCATTTCCTCCTCCCACTCCTCTGTTTGATAAAGTAAAGAATGCTGCTTTATCTTGGTTCGTCTGGAACCTCTGCATTTCTTAAACCTTAGTGTTGGGTCGAGGGAGATGGTGTAGTGTTCTGATTCCTTTAGAAGAGTTTCATTTTAATATTTCTTCTGAGAGGGCAGATGTTTCAAATCTGCAATTTGCATGGACCTTATAGAATAATTTACTATAGTGGCAGCTTTAGAATTATATCTAAACATACCCAACTTGCTGTAATACATTCATTTCTCTAGGCATGTATATGTTATATGTGAGAAGAGTATTAAATATATTTCACTCATTAGCAAAGGGTCAAGCAAATTACATTAAAACAATTTATTCTTCAATTTCGAGCTACGCAATGATAGAAATGTTCTATAGGGGGCCGGCCCTGTGGCCAAGTGGTTAAGTTTGTGCACTCTGCTTCGGTGGCCCAGGGTTTCACTGGTTCAGATCCTGGGCGCAGACATGGCACCACTCATCAGGCCATGCTGAGGCGGCGTCCCACATGCCACAACTAGAGGGACCCACAACTAAAATACACAACCATGTACCGGGGGGCTTTGCGGAGAAAAAGGAAAAATAAAATCTTAACAAAAAAAGAAAAGAAAAGTTCTATATCTGCAATGTTCAGTACAGTAGCCTCCAGCCACATGGAGCTATGGAACACTTTTAATGTGGCTAGTGTGACTGAGGAACTGAATCTTAAATTTTATTTAATTTTAATTTATTAAAATTTGAATTTAAATAGTTACTTCTTTTTTTTTTTTCTTCCCTGTGGCTAGTGGCTACTATATTGGGCAGTGCAGATTTAGAGAGTCACTGCTTGCATTTTATTATTGCTACTGACCTTTGAAGAGTTGGTCTGTCAAATAATTAGGAGCAATTATAGTAATGTGAGAAGGTAGAAGAACAAAATCAGGAAAATTAGGAGTATTTAAGAATTTGGGGTTCTTCAGTTTTTAATGGAAGTGTTTTCCATAGAGCACTGGAAGAGGACGCCCTTCTACACAACGTGAATGCTGTGAAGGGTCCTTCTGTTTTATCATGTTAAGGCCCCACCTGGACGGGCTCTTGTTTGAAGAAGACAGCACAGGGGAGGACACTGGCCTGATGGGAGATGACGTCCCGGAAGCCAAGTTAGGGGACCCAGCCGTGGTCAAAGAGTGGGCTCTTCTGGAAGGGAGAGGGTTCGGAGGGCTCGTGATGGCATTCGCCTCTGTCAAAGTGAAAGGCAGAAGAGATAATAAGTCTGGTTATACTTTCCCTCAGAAATCAAATGAAAACCAAAGATGCCTCTGAATGTCTGAGCAAATCAATCTATGTAGGCAATTTCCATACAACAAGAATCAAAATATTCTGATGAATGGACTAATCCGGTGGACTCTCAACCCTTGCTACACATTAGAATCATCTGGGGAGCTTAAAAAGTATATAGATTTCCAGGTCCCAGCCAGAGGGTGTCCGAATTGGCTGGCCTGGGGTGTGGCCAGGGCGTCCAGATATTTTTTTAAAAGCTCTAATATCCAGCTGGGGTTGAGAATCACTGGTCTAATCCATCAAATTGTATCTTGTATACCTAATACCCCCTGTCAATAATGGCAAGGTAATTAATGAAACTTTCTCCCAAGTACTGTGCTTGCAGAAATATCTCTTGGGTTACACCATCTAATTAAAAACAAAGGTAAGTATATTTAACACGATAAAGAGTTTTGTTAAGGATGCCTACAATACTTAAGTCACAATTTAAAAGAAAACGCATATTTCTTCCATAAAATTAAAAAGAAAAACCTGTCAGATGTGAATATCCTGCTTACCTGATTCCTCTGGTTCGTTAGCATCTTGAGGGTCAGAACCGCTCCGGCTCCGACACTCTTTGTGCACTTTGACCTTGCGGGTGGCCATCTCATCGTCGGTTGCCTCTCCACTCTCACCCTGGGAACACGAGACTCACAATGTTTCTCACTCTGTATTTCTCTCCCAGCATGGCTCTAGTTCAGGCAGGTCTCTTCTTGCAGACTGAGCCACCTTCACACTGCCTCCCCCTGGTGAAGGCTGATCAACTCTGCTTACATGACATTATCCATTTGTTCTTCCCTATAAAGCAGCACTCCTCAGGGGAGGGGGCCGCCAAGGGGAGGCATACGATCCCTGGGATCTCCGGGTAGAGACAGAATCATGAAGCAGACGAAGGTCAACCTAGGCATCAATAGCCTTCCATATATAAAGAGTGGGAATTTTTCTAGATAACCAGGGAGAACATATATTAACATGTAATAATGATAACTTATAGAGTGCAATATATAATATACGGTCATAACATATTCATTATAGTGAAAAACACATAACATAAAATTTACCATCTTAATCGTTTTTAAGTGTACAGTAGAACTGTGGTAACTATATGTACCTTGGTGTACAACGCTTCTCTAGAACTTTTTCACCTTGCAAAACTGAAACTCTACGCCCCTCGAACATCAACTCCCCTTCTTCCTCTCCCCCGAGCCCCCAGCAACCACCATTCCACTTTCTGTTTCTAGGAGTTTGACTATTCTAGGTGCCTCACATAAGTGGAACCATGCAGCATTGGTCCTTCTGTGACTGGCTTATTTCACATAGGATGCCCTCAAGGTTCATCCACAGTGTAACACACGATAGGATTTCCTTATTTTTTTAAGGCTGAATAATATTCCATCGTATGTATATACCACACTCTTTATCCTCCATTTGTGGATGGGCATTTAGGTTGCTTCCAGTGATGATATATTTTAGACTGTGTCCTACATCTAGTATTTTCGCCCTCTAAAACCTTCATAACCTGATCCTCTTCCTTTCGAGTCCTTTCTCGGCCACCACAGAGCCCATGCTCCAGCTTGGGGCATGACCCCAGAACTACATGTGCTTCCTAGAACAAACCAAATCTTTCATGCCTCTCTGCTGCCTCCTTTGCCAGGGGCGTTTTCCCTTGGGTTTTCTGTCTGGTAAACTCCTACATATCCTTCAAGACCCATCTGTCAACTTCTCTGTGAAGCCTTCCCTGCTTGCCCCTCAGCCCTATATTTGCCTTCTTTCTGCTGCCACAGCACTCTGTAGGCAGCTTGGCGATGACTCTTATTTAGATCTCACTGTGTTTGTTAACATGTCTGTGTCCCTCTTCGGACCCTGACTTTTTCCTGGTGTTGATTCAGCATTCGGCCTGGTTCCTAGCATTGGACCTGCCACACAGGAAGCACTTGGTAAGCCCTTGAATTTCATTTGTTTTATATCTCATCTTGTCCCTAACCCAAATGACCTAAGTAGACCACACCATGGTCCTGGATAGATTGGGTCTGATGCTTAGTAAACAAGCAACACTCTACCCTCATCAGGATTTTCTTCTTTTTCTTGGTGGTACTTATGCCCAAGGTGTTGTTTCTCTGCACGTTGGGCTTCTCGGCACTCTTTGCTGATGTCCCAGGGCTGGGGTTTCGAGTACTCCATCGTCTGCCACCAAACAACTCCACAGCATGAGCCAAAGTTGGGCCTTCATACCGTCCATCTTCCTGCAAAAGAACCACATGCTGAACACATAAGGGAACAGCAAGCAATGGGGAAGTTAATAGATTAATGACTTCCAGTAAATTCCCAGAGGTGGAAGAGCAAAGGCAGCCACCAAGGAATAATGATCTGGCCACCCAAGTGGCTCTGTTTTCTATCAGGACTCTCTGTTGGGGATTTCATCATGTCCTCTGCAGTCCTGGTCACATCCCTGCTGAGTTCCAGTGATGTGCTTTCATAGGGCCAAATTCAACTTAAACAAAAAAAATTTCCCATCCCAGTTTCAAAGATTATCTTCCAGAATTACCACTGTAGGAAAATTCATTAAAATGTACTTTGCAAATTAGGGCTTTGGAGGACTTGAGGGGTGTATGTGTGTATGTGTGTGTGAGTCTATTTAAGTAAAATCAAGTTCTATTTGTTATTGCATCATTCCAGGTAGATTTTCATCTATGTTATGCTTAGGATAGTCTGACTTGAAATATAGGGTATGCGGCATACATGAAATTCACTTGGGAGGGCTCTGGGGAGCAACTGAAATAGTTGGGCTGCCATCCTCTTGAGTGACTGGTATCCAAGGATAGAGAGCCCAGGGGACTCAGAACACCATGCATATTATGATGCTGTGAGCAAAAACACATGCAAGGGGCAGGTTATGGTTTACAATATAGCTGTTTCTCATAAGGCAACTCCATGTTACATGCGTTGAGCAGCAGTAGGCATTTATTAATTAAACAAAGGCCAGTGATTCTCCCAATATGTCAGGAAAGCCAGTTAATAAAACTACAAAAAGTCGAATATAAGTTAAAGACAATATTGATATTTCATAGGTTGTATAAAAGGGCCCTTTAAAATTAATTTCCATTTACTGTCTTTACTTTCTGCAAAACTTTAAGGCTGGTCTTTCTTTGCAGTTCCAAAGAAGTGCTTGTAAATAGATTTTGCTTTGTTGTAGATAATATGCAAATAATAAAGAGGCTCTGTGTATCTGTGCTTGCTCCTTTATCCTAATGTTCAATGAGTGTCTGATTTTATGATGAGTTGTGACCTCCCACTTCCTGCATCCTGTTACGGATCCCAAGATGCTGAGTAACTTGGATACTGGATGTGGGAAACTTTTTGGTGATCTCTGGTAGTGGATATTTACCACTTATTCCTGTCCATTAATTATTTCTCTCTTCTCTAACCATACCCCAATTTTACTTTATCTTTTTTCCACTGGATACAGTCTTGGGTCTGTCAATCAAGGAGGAACATCCTCCCTTGACCAATGGTTGGCACAGGATCCAAATAAGCCAATCAGAATCTCCCTCTCTGGAAAATGAATCTTGACTGCAGAGATACAGAGAATGAAAACAGTTGGAGATCATTCCACTTGACGCAGGCGAACTGAAGAAAGTCCCCTAACAAGTCACTATGATTGACTCCAACATGGAATAAACATTTCACGACACTGTTTCATAAATGGGTTTTAACTACCTTACTGAATAACATACTCTGAATCTGAAAGAAACTTTGTAAAATTTTATCTATGGATTTTAACCAACATATCTTTAAAAATTTAATAGACTCCTTCATTAAAATTTAAAACTTTTGCTCTGTGAAAGATGCTATCAAGAGGATAAGAAGACAAGCCAAAGACTCGGAGAAAATGTTTGCAAAAGAAACATCTGACAACGAACCGTTGTCCAAAATATACAAAGGATGCTTAAAACTCAACAACAAGAAAACAACCTGATTAAAAAATGGGCCAAAGACCTTAACAGACACCTCACCAAAGAAGACATACAGATGGCAAACAAGCATATGAAAAGATGCTCTACATCATATGTTACCAGGGAATGCAAATTAAAACGAGATAACACTACACACGTATTAGAATGGCCAAAATCCAAAACACTGACAACAACAAATGCTGGCGAGGATGTGGAGCAACAGGAGCTCTCATCCATTGCTGGTGGGCAGGCAAAATGGACAGCCACTTCAGAAGACAATTTGGCAGTTTCCCACAAAACTAAATATACCTTTACCATACGATCCAGCAATTGGGCTTCTTGGTATTTAACCAAAAGAGTTGAAAACTTAGGTCCACACAAAAATCTGCACATGGATGTTTATAGCAGCTTTGTTTATAATTGCCAAAACTTGGAAGCAACCAAGATGGCCCTCAGGGGGTGAGTGGATAAACTGTGGTCCATCCAGACAATGCAATATTATTTAGCAATAAAAAGAAATGAGGGGCCAGCCCTGTGGCTGAGTGGTTAAATTTGTGCGCTCCACTTTGGGGGCCCAGGATTTCACTGGTTCAGATCCTGGGCGGGGACCTAGCACTGCTCGTCAGGCCATGCTCAGGTGGCGTCCCACATAGCACAACTAGAAGGACCTGCAGCAAGAATATACAACTATGTACTGGGGGGCTTTGGGGAGAAGAAGAAGAAGAAGAAAAAAAAAAGATTGGCAACAGATGTTAGCACAGGTGTCAATCTTTAAAAAAAACAAAAAAGGAAAAAAGAAATGCGCTGTTGAACCATGAGAGGACATAGAGGAAAGTTAAATGCATATTACTAAGTGAAAGAAGCCAATCTGAAAAGGTTACATACTGTATGATCCCAACTATATGACATTCTGGAAAATGCAAAACTACGGAGACAATAAAAAAACCAGCGGCTGCAGGGGGCGAGGGAAAAGGGTGGGGTAGGGTGGGGGAAGAGATGAACAGGCAGAGCAAAGATGATTTTTAGGGCAGTGAAAATACTCCATATGATATTACAATAATGGATATATGTTGTTATAACTTTGTACAAACCCAAAGAATGAACAAAACCAAGAGTGAACTCTAAGGTAAACTACGCTCTTTGGGTGATTACAATACGTCAGTGTGGGTGCAGAAGCAGGGGGTTTATGGGAAATCTCTGTACTTTCCTTTCAACTTTACTGTAAACCTAAAACTGCTCTAAAAAAATAAAATCTTTTTTTTTTTTTTTTGGTGAGGAAGATTGTCACTGAGCTAATAACTGTGCCGCTTGATGAGCAGTGTGCAGGTCCATGCCTGGGATCTGAACCCTCGAATCCCAGGACCACCAAAGTGAAGGATGTGAGCTTAACCACTATGTCACAGGCCAGCCCCACAAAATAAAATCTTTTTTTTTTTAAATTAAAAATTTTTTTTTTTTTGAGGAAGGTTAGCCCTGAGCTAACTACTGCCAGTCCTCCTCTTTTTTGCTGAGGAAGCCTGGCCTTGAGCTAACATCCGTGCCCATCTTCCTCTACTTTATATGTGGGACACCCACCACAACATGGCTTGCCACGCGGTGCCCTGTTCGTACCTGGGATCTGAACTGGTGAACCCCAGGCCACTGTAGCGGAAATTGCAAACTTAACCGCTGCACCACCGGGCTAGGCCCAAAATAAAATCTTTAACAAACATTTTTAATAGACCTGTTGCCATGTACACATAAAAGAACCAGCACCATTCACCTCCACTGCTCTGATTTTTCTAAATTCAGAACATCCCAACATGGGGAAAGCTTTACTCTTAACGGGAATATTTTAGGTCTGGAAAAGGCAGGATGCCTTTGCTTAATCTTTAAAGGAGACTTTCTGGGAACTAAAATGTACTTTGAATCGTTCATTTTATATAAAACAATAAACTTGTTTGGTATGGGTGAAGGATATACCTTCTATTTTTAATTTGGGAGAAGGACTATTGTGAGTGAAGACACATTCTCAGTTTTAGAGAACAGCTCATGTGGAAGATGAGGATTAGAAAATTGATTCCTTAGAAAATATTCGTGCACTTTTGCCTCTTGGCATATCTCTGCAAATGATATCTTGAAGACTGTTAAACTAATCTAATCCTTTGAATAAATCCTTTTTCTCCTTTGAAGACAGATAGAATCTGTTTCTGTTGCTTACAACCATAGAAGTTTATCTGCTAATCCTGTATTTAGCCTTTTCAGCTTCCCAGGGATCTTTCCAAATACCCAGGATTAGGGGTTCTCAGCTCTGCCCCCGAGAAGCTCGAGTCAAAGCTCAGGACACCAGTCTTTCCTCCACAGCCCACATCAAATCTCAGCACAGTTTACTTTCTTTTATTTTCCTGTATTCCTAGGCTTTGTTACAAACGTCACTGTTTCTTCTTGTCTTTGCTTTATCTCCTGATACTATTTCCATTGGATTGATTTATCTTTACCAGTATAAAATACTTGCACTTGAAAGTAACTTCACATACATTCATCACACAAGGGGGCTCTGACATCACAAAGATTACTTTCTATATAAGCACTTAAACTGGAGATAAAAAAATATTGTTATAGAGCTCCTAATAGAAATTTGGAAGAACCCAAGACTTCTCATAAATGTCTTTAACTTATAGATATATTTCAATTGTTTTCTTTTGTACTTTAGGATTTCTCAGAGTCTTGAACATGCTAAGCTGCATTCTAAGTCACCAAGAAGGGCATTTAGCATGATGCCTGTTTGACCTTTTGTTCTCCAAGTACCAAATTAGCATCCTTTGGACGTTCCCTGAGACAGTTTGGGAACTGGTCCATATGATGGGAAACGATAAGTCCACTGACATTTTTCACTTTTTTGGGGGGGAGCTAACACCTGTTGCCAATCTTTCTCTTTTTGCTTGAGGAAGAGTGGCCCTGAGCTAACATCTGTGCCAATCTTCCTCTACCTTGTATATGGGATGCTGCCATAGCATGGCTTGATGAGCGGTGTGTAGGTCCACACCCAGGATCCGAACCCGTGAACCCTGGGCTGCTGAAGCAGACTACACAAACTTAACCCCTACGCCCTCAGGCCAGCCCTTCACTTTTTTTTAAAGAAAGAAATGGAGTGTGTTTCTAAGACACGTTTCCTGTCTTCCCGGGCGGCTCATGTAGAACAACGTCTTGAGGAAGAACATCACCCATGTTTTCAGAAGTGACTGGGGTACACGGAGCTGCTGTGCCTTTACAGTGTGAGGCTTGGTTCCTCTCAGAGGAGGAGGGCTGGGGGCTGGGGGCAGGGAGGCACGTAGCTGTGCTTGTAACTGGGCAGGACTGAGTCTGCTAAGGTCACTTCCTCTGGCTCTGCTTCAGCAGCACCTCTTACCTCTTCCCATCTGCTGGTTATGGTCTCACCTGGTGCCTCCTTCAGCAAACACTGAGGGTTGCCAGGGGAAACGAGAAATCAAGGACACCTTATGTGTTAATTCAGTTACTTTATGCTATAAGATTGGGAAGGAAACACATGGAACAAATACACCACGCAGGCTTTATGACAGGGATTGTAATTGAGCTCAAAGACTTTGCTTTACATCCAGGTTGAATGAATTTTCATCATTCTAGAAGACTGAGGAATGGCTGTAATTAAAAAACAATATTCTCAGAACTTACAACTAGAATATACAATTATGTACTGGGGCTTTAGGGAGGAAAAAAAATCAATATTCATAATAGCTCTGAAAATCTTTCTTCCAAGCAGTTGACTGCACTGAAAGCTCCCTGTGGAGCAGACAGGAAGCAGGTATTTTGGTTTCTGTTTTCGATGAGTTAACTAAAACTGGCTTGGTGTTGTGCAGCATTAGCAAAGTTGTGTCTATAGGCCTACGTGCTTATTAATTAATTACTCAAGTTAGTGACTCAGGATATGATCTCTACCCATAGTTATTGCATGGATGTGGGGACAGGAGAAAAAGGAGGCATTATATGTGCTTCTACTAACACCCCAGAGGGAAAAATGTTTTTAATTGTCAGAAACATGTTAGAACTGTAAAAAGCACAGGAAATCAGTCATTTGAGTATTAAGTCATCGTTCTATTTCTTCTGTGACACTAGTAAAAAAGATAATTTTTTCCCCAAAAGATCAAAAAGTATAACAAACAAAAGCTGAATATTTTCATACAACTCATTTGACAGTGCCATTTCAACAGTGTGGCAGGGTCTGCGACTCAGTTTCCAAGCAATCCCTGCCCTCCTTCCCCCACAGCATGCCACTCTGTCTCTCTCACTGTCTCATTCAGCCCAGTTCCGCACCACCCCTAGCTAGGCTATTAAAGTACCTGAACATTTAGGGTTAATAAGAAACTCACTCAGTTAAAGCAGCCCACTGTGAGAACTGCCCCCTAAAGGCTGCCGCCACTACAAACCTGGTTAGGAAGAGCTCCATGTATGAGTTCTCCCACATTCGGGTAAGCATCTTCTTTTTTTTCTTTTTAAAGATTGGCACCTGAGCTAACAACTGTTGCCAATCTTTTTTTTTTTTTCCTGCTTTTTTCTGCCCGAACCCCCCAGTATATAATTGTATATCTTAGTTGCAGGTCCTTCTGGTTGTGACATGTGGGACACCGCCTCAGCGTGGACTGATGAGTGGTGCCATGTCCGCGCCCAGGATCTGAACCAGCGAAACCCTGGGCCACTGAAGCAGAGTGCTCGAACTTAACCACTCGGCCACGGGGCCAGCCCCCTTGGGTAAGCTTCTTTTAATCTTAGTAGTTCTACAGTTAGGCAGCAATACCATTAAGTGAAGTACTATCCGTATTTAACACACATGCTCTGAGAGTCATGTAGCATATTAGGCAATGAATCGGAATTTCAATTTCCAAAGTGAAGGTTCCCAATGTATCAGCTAGTCCCTAATTAACAATAAAAGCATTCGGATTACAACACTTTCACCTGAAACCTGGAGTAAGTGAAAATGCTTCTATGAACTGGTTTCTTTCCAGAAGTGAGAAGTACAATGACCGCAGTCACTATTTTCATACAAAATAATAATAAGACACACTATGAGCCAGATACTATTCTTTATACATATGAATTTGCATTATGGCTTTACACATATTAACTCAGTTAAACATCACAGCTACCCTAGGAATAGGTATTGTTATTATTATTTTATTTTTGCTGAGGAAGATTTGCCCTGAGCTAAGATTCATTGCCAATCCTCTTTTTTTTTTTTTTCGCTTGAGGAAGATTAGCCCTGAGCTAACATCTGTGCCAACCTTCCCGTATTTTTTTGTATGTGGGACACCTCCACAGTGTGGTTGGTGAGTAGAGCAGGTCTGCATCTGGGGTCCAAACCTGCGAACGCAGCCTGCCAAAGTGGAGTGTGTGGAACTTTAACCACTCATCCATGGGGCCAGGCCCTATTACTCCCATTTTATAGATAAGAAGCTGAGGCACAGAGGTTAGGTAAAAGCTGCCTAATATCACTCAGGTAGTGAGTGACAGAGCTAGGAGAATGAACTCTGATGGTCTAGTTGCCAAGCGTGTGTTTACAAGATCTGTATCTTGAGAATTATGTCACTGAGAAGAGAGGGAAGGCTGTACCCCTTACCTGATAGAGGCTGACGTATTGTTTCCGCAGCCACTGCTGTCTTTGGTCAGGGAACTTCCTCATCTTTCTTACAGCTTTCGTGAGTTCCAACAATCCGCTGAAGAGCATTTTAGCTGTGTGCTTTGGTGCCACAAAGTGCAATAACCTATTGTCCGTGGTCTGAAGCCCATAGAGCAGCGTTACACCAGTCTCTGAGAGAAGCATGCTACCCAGTTTGTTCTGAACACACACAGTGTGTATATCAATGCTAGGGTGTCCCATGTACACAGCCTTTGCTGAAAACAGATCCAAGACCCCCTCCACCAGGCTGCTTAATCCAGCACTGCCCAGTAACGGGAATTTACCAGGCTCAGACGTGTTACTAAGTACACCAAGTTTCGCTTTAGCACTGGCTGGGGAGGCAGTGGTGGGCTTCATCCAGGTCAAGGTGCTATTGTCAGGCTGAAGCCGGAGGAAGCAGCGGGCAGAGAGGTGCATGTCCTGGTCGTAGTGGATGACCGTGGCCCCCTGCAACAGGAACTGGTGCACATCAGCTTGGATAGACAGCACGTACCACGGGATGAGCTCTGTCCCATGGTCAAACGCCTTCTGTGGCTCTTCTGATCCATGAGGGTCCCATTCTTTGGGCTGCTCAAAGATGTCATTTTCAGAATCTAGCAAATCTCCAATTATAAACCTGATGGAAAAAGATACAAATTTGGTCTGTTTAATAATCAGAAGTGAGAACAACACAAATCCTTTCACTAGCTCTGGACATCATTTTTCATTCCACAGTGAATTCAAATTAGCATAGGAAACATAAAATGCTAAAAGTCAGAGAGTAATTTTTTATAGCTGTATTCTAAAACCTTATATACAGCAGTGTGTCTGACCACAGGCATAAGGAAAGGAACCATTAGATCAGTTATTGTATTTTTAATACCAAATACAATAATCTTCATTACGTATTTAGTTTTCCCTCTTGTGTCAGGAACTGTGTTAAATACTTTACATACATTTCCGCACTTAATTTGAGCTACTTGTGAAGTAAGTTTTCTTACTCTTTTTTGTCTATGAGGAAAGTGAAGTTCAGAAGGGGTGAATCACTTGCTCCAGGTTACCCAGCTCAGAAGAGGCCTACCCAATGCAGGACTCTCGTCTGTCTGACTCTTTAGCCTGAGATCTTTATCACTAGGTTCATCTGCGTTCTACTTGATCATAAACAAGAGTCAGGAACTGAATACAACAGGGCTAAAACAGGCAAAACAAGACTTAAGACTGCGTTGGGTAGGCCTCTTCTGAGCTGGGTAACCTGGAGCAAGTGATTCACCCCTTCTGAACTTCACTTTCCTCATAGACAAAAAAGAGTAAGAAAACTTACTTCACAAGTAGCTCAAATTAAGTGCGGAAATGTACGTAAAGTATTTAACACAGTTCCTGACACAAGAGGGAAAACTAAATACGTAATGAAGATTATTGTATTTGGTATTAAAAATACAATAACTGATCTAATGGTTCCTTTCCTTATTTTTCCTTATAAGTTGGCCTGAGAAGTGCCTCTGTTAAAAATAAAAAATGATTAGGGCAAAGACACTCATTGGGAAATACTGTCACGGTAGCCAGGCAAGCGAGACCAGCTCTCCTTGACTCAACCTTAGATTTTCATTGTGTGTGTGTGTGTGCATGTGCAAGCACATGTGCACATAAAGGACTTGTTTGCTTAGAAATTTAGCAAGTTGTCTTCCCTGAGTCAGGAAGCTGGATTATTAGGCCAGGAGGGTCTGAGGAGAAGGCTAGGAGACTTTATTGCTTCCTTTCTATCTGGCCACCTTGATAGAAATGTGCCCAAGAGACACTCACGCTCTTGGAAGCACGTAGAATTGTTAGTGGGATCAAGGTTTCTGCTGTTTGATCCATAGACATCACTAGCAAAGTGGTGGATAAAACTGAGAAGGAGCTGGTCCGTGCATCTCTGGGAAGGAACGCTCCCATCATCTGGAGGCACGTGGCGGCCTACTGCCTCTTGGCGAGGCATGAGCAGCAGCACTGGGCTGCTTGGACTCTGAGTCCAGATCCCCGTCCCGGAGCAAGAGCCCACTCCTGCTTTCAAACAGCAGGTTCTTCCTCCTTGCCTCCATAAGTAACATTCTTAAAAGAGAAATCTACAAGAGATCTCACAAATCTGATGGTCAGGATATCCTTTTCAGATAACCCACACTGGAAACAACCCAAATGTCCAGCAATATACAATAAAATGTATAAATAAAATTTGATGTATTCATACAATGTAATTCTGCAGAGCAATGAAAATGAACATGCAATAGCTAACTACGTGCAACAATATGGACAAATCTTAAGCAACAGACACAAGAACACTCGCTGTATGATCGCATCTACGTAAATGTAAATTCCAAAACCAGACAAAACTACACTACAGTGTTTAGAAATGTATAATAGTGGTAAACTTATAAAGAAAAGTAGGATGTATTATCATGAAATTCACAGTAGCAAATTTTTCTCTGCGGGAAAGGGAGTCACAGAATCGAGAAGGGAAACAAGGGGTTTACGGGTGCGGACAATGTTTTCACTGTGGGTGGCAGTTACACATGTATTCACTTGATGAATATTCAAATACATTAGTTTTTAAAAAAACTTCTAATTTTAGAATACAGCAGGTTTAGATTTGTAGAGAAATTGCAAAGACAGTATACCCCACATCCAGTTTTCCCTATTATTAACCTCTTACATTGGGATGGTGTATTTGACACAATTCATGAACCAATACTGATACGTTATTATGAAAGTCCATCCACTATTTAGATTGTCTTAGTTTTTCCCCGTGTGCTTTTTCCGCTCCAGGATCCCGTCCGGATACCATATTACATTTAGCCATCAGGCTTCTTTAGCCTCCTCTTAAACATGACGGTTTCTCAAACTTTCCTTGTTTTTGTTATCTTGACGGTTTTGAGGAGCACAGGTCAGGCATTTTTTAGAATGTCTCTCAATTAGAATTTGCCTGACATTTTTCTCATAATTCCACTGCAGTTCTGGGTTTTGGGGAGGAAGACCACAGAGGCAGAGTGCCATTCTCATCACACCCTGTCAAGGGAGCACCCTACCAACGTGACACATCCCTGTTGACAGTGACTGGCTGAGGCAGTGTTGGTCATGTCCACTGTAAAGTTACTCTTTTTTTTTTTTTTAACCCCTTTCTAGAGTGTCCTCTTTGGAAGGAAGTCACTACATGCAAGCCACCCAAGGAGTAAGGAGTTACGTTCTACCTGCTGGAGGGCAGAGTATCTAAAGTACTTCTAAATTATTAAATTAGTTGGAATTCTTCTGCACGGGAAGAATTTGTTTATTTATCATTTAAGTGTGTGGACTCACGGACATTTATTCAATACTTCAGGTGATAATTTCATAGCACTGAGGCTATTTAAATTGTTCCAGCTTTGCGAGCTCTTTCAGTTGGCTGTTGTGTTCCTCTGACATAACCTCATTATTGTGTGTGTGTGTGTGTGTGTTTTAAATGCTTCTTTAATTTCTGGCACAAGATGCTCCGGGCTCATCTTGTGTATTCCCTGCCCCAGTCCTGGAATCAGCCATTTCTCCAAGGAGCTTTGCTTTCTTTTATTGAAGAATGTTATTAGAAATCAAGATCTGGGTGCTATGTGCAATTACATTCTATTTTACACACTTTTCTTAAAACTACATTTCACCTCAAGATGTGTAGAAAGAAAGAAAAAGAAAGAAAATCCTTATGTCTAATTTAGCTCCATCCCGTTGAAATTACTCTCAGTAACAGTGGAAACTCAACACTTATGTCCACTTATATGATACTTCTGTCCACGTTTTATATATAAAACATGGTAGTTAGGAACATGCCTTCTGGAGTCACCCTGGGTTTAATGTTCAGTTCCGTCACCTCTTTGCTGTGTGACCTAGTCAAATCACTCACTTTACTTTACTTTACGGAGCCTCACTTTACTTAGCTATTAATGGAAAAAAGAGAATACCCATTTCAGAGAGTAATGGTGAAGCTCAAATAAGATAATACTTGTAAAGCACTCAGCACAGCCTTGGGCTCAGGAAAGTAAATGACTATAATTAAAGATAGGAAGGTGGAGGCTTCATCCCTGCCTCTTCTCCTTCCCCGCCTCCTTTGCACCAGGCTAAATCCGCCCAGCTGTTCCTCTGGAGGGGCTTTCTTCAGGGCCACATCCAAGCCCTTTAATCTTTTTATTTCCTTTCTCTGGGACCATGTCCACATTCTCCATGTCACACTTGTTGTTTTAAGAGCAAAAATGATTCAATTGGGAAGTGTCAGTATCCATGAAATACAGCACATGTTAATTTGGACAAAGAACTTCTGATTTTAATTTATAGCAAGAGAAATGGTGTTTCCCATATTCCATTTAATTTGACTTCTGAGCTCAATTAAGTATTTGCCAGTGAAAAACGACAGGCATTATAAATAATAGTGCCTGAAAAGAAAAATTATGAGGCTTTTCTGGAGCCCATTTCTGCTGCTGAGACATGAAGTAAGCTGGGATGGAAGGGACCCTGTCTTTCTTAGTATCAGTTTCTATTCTGGAACACCAGAACAACTAATGCTGGTGTTAACAATTCCAGTAAAAAGCATTCTTCCAGGGACCAATGCCCGAGATAAAACTGACTGTTTTTGTAGTGAAATGAGTTCATTTCAAAAAGGAAACTAATAGCTTTGTCTCTCAGATCATATAATGAATTTTATGCACTTTTGTGCTGGATTCTCTCCGGAGACACATTTCTGGGAGTTTACAAGAAGGAATATGGTGAAACTTAAAGGATTATTTAGGAACCAAATAACATTAACCAAGGATCAAAGATGTGGTTTACCAGCAAAGCAACTACCTTGTCAAACGTAGGTCATATGCCGAGAGGACCAAAGAGAAAAGAGAAGGAGGGTTTGTATCTGACCCCTGAAAAAGTTCTCCAGCATCCTTTAGTTAGAAGACATAAATTGACAGATAAACATTTTTCTAATGTTCCGTGAGGAAAATCTTATATTAGGGGACAAGTGGGCTATTTGTCAACCTGGTTATATATTTTTTTAATAAATGGTTCATTACTTCCTACAAATTTAATATGACTACATGAACATGATTCATCAAGTGATAAAAAAGCTCTAATTTAATTTTGTAAGATAGAAGAAAATGCACACCTTTTCCAAAGGACTACCTACAGCTGTTCCTTGTAATAAAATTTAGAGTTTTAAGCTTGCTTCTGGCAAATTCTTGCTTTTAATTAACCTAGCACTTTCCTTAACTACAGGCAGCTTCTAAATTACATCTGGGAGTATGTGGACGTTGGAGCCGGCCTGCCTGAGGTTAAATCTTGGCTCTGCAAGGTGTGAGATCCTGAGTAAAATGAACCTGCTGTGAGGATTAAATCATTTAATGTATGCAAAGTATTTAGGACAGTGTTTGTTTAAAAGTAGGCTCTTCTTAAATAATAGCATGTTAAATATTACTAACATCATTATTGTCTGACTTGTATTTGCAAAGTCAATATTTCTAGAACATAGCCACCCACACATTGCTTTTCTGTGAAAATGGTGTTCCAGTTTCAAGTCTGGATTCGAGCAATAAACAAGCTTAAACTGAATGTAGCACAGACAGTGGGAAAATGGCTTTCTTTGATACAGGTCACAGAAGGAGGACTGGGTCGTGGGTGTTGGCCAAGGAGACAGGAAGAGAGAGAAATAGAGAGTCCCAGGTATCCCCAGTCCCAGTTCCCTTCAGCAAAGCTGGCGAGGGTGGAGACCACGTTAAGGTTTGGGCTGAAGCAGGCAGCTAGCTGTGCCTGAGGCGGGTGTCTGTAAGGTTGGGACTTGTCTGCACCATCGTCTGTGGAGAATAACTGATCGGTTTCCTATCATTTTATTATCTTGTGCGTGCATGTGCATGTGTGTGTGTGTGTGAGACGAATCCTGGTAACTATTATCTTTTCTTAGATACGCTCCTTCCTTATGCATAGCTTTCTTACTTTCTACCCTTGTGGGGTTGGATTACTGTCCAGACAAGTCTCTAAGGAGGCTGTTGGGGTAGGAGGGCGCAGAAAACAGCTCTCTCCAGTAAGAAAGGGGAGTGTGACGGAGGGGAGCTCCTAAAATGATGACTGCTGCCAGGGGTGCCCACACCTAAGTGCTCGAGCCTCCAGATGCCTCAGCCTGGCATTCACAGGTGTGACGTCAGACATTAATTACAAGAGTCACCATTTATATGGCATTTGCGATGTAAAATTGCTTATTTTATATATATCATCTCACATAATCCTCATAACAACCCTATAAAGCATCACGATTGTCCCCATTTTATAGATGACAAAGCCAAGGCTTAGTAAAATTAAGTCACCTATCCCGGTGACACAAATAGCAAGTGGGAGTGGTAAGATTCAGTCCCAGGCAATGTGACAGCAAGGTCTGAGCTCGTAACTGGTTCAAGCAGCCTCCATTCTAAGGTGCTGTCTGTATTCATTATCTACGTATATCCAATTTCTCCAAATGTACAAATCCTTCTTAAGCCGCAGCATCTTAAAGAGGGTCAACAGAGTTGAAAATAAAACTTGCAGCTCTTCTATGATCCAACACTCTTCTCTACATACCTTAATATTCTTAATTTCCATTTTCCAACAATAGTGTCATATGCTATTCTTATGCCGCCATGACTTAAACACACTCACACAGGCAAAGCTCATTTATTCTTCACGCTGTTAAATTTAAAAAGTCATTGTTAAGGAGCTTTATTGGTCATAGGAAATGTAACTAGAATGTTTTTAGAACTCAGATATTCCTAATCTACAGGTACTAGAAATAAAAAGAAGCTGAGTTAGTCCCTGTACCGGGACAAGAAATGCCTTAAACGTCGCCGGAGAAAAGATCCTGCCCTGAGGCTGAACACGCGCTTGGGCTTACACTCCAGCTCTGCTGGGCGACACTTAGGCACGTGACTTCACCTCTCTGGGCATCACTTCTTCATCCGTGCTGGGGAAGCCAGACGAAATGACCTTAAGATCCCACTGACATATTGAGATTCTCTCAACCCTATTCCTTTCCTGTTGAGGTCTTGAACTTTTTATGGTCACTTCTCTGGGGTTTCTGTGAGTGCTTTGAATGAGTCTTTTTGGCAGGAGTAGCTGAGAGGTTTGAGAAAAATTGTAAGAGTGCCCTGCAGGCTGGGTGAACCAAAGGACATGAGATTGTCCCTTCTTTCTTTGATATGATTTTCACAGGGCTGGTGGCTGCCACAGGGACAGGGGCTAGAGGTTATTGTTTATGGAGTCTTGGTTTTAGCCATATCAACAACAAAGCACGGTTCTTAGGGGTTTTGGGATCTGGAAATCCCCTTGCCGCCCACAACCCTGTGCTGGATATTTTCACATGAGGCTCTGAATCAGGAACAGGTTCCCAAGTCCTGGCAGATGGTCTCGGAAACAGTGCTGGCTGCTCTGGTTTCAGTGGATTCTATTAAACACTCCACCCCCATCTTTTGTGTGCAGTGGTTCTTTCCAGAGTAGCAGACACTTGGGGTAAGGAAACTATTCCTGGAACTGAGGTACATAGGTTTCAGTGTGAGGGTTTCAACAGGAATTCACAGGTTTGTAAAAGAAATATTTGCATTCTTGTGCTTTTTTCCCTTCTAAGAGTGCTCACAAGCAGGAACTGGAAAATGGAAGTGGAAGGGCAATGTTCTTAGGTTGTCAATGGTAACATGTTTAGAAAGAGGACAAGAGAATAAGCAGAAAATTGGAAATAAAAATTTCATGAGAGGTGAAGTGATGAGGTAAGAAACATATCACTTGAAGGAATCCCAGGCAAGAGAGAAGGATGGTAAAGGGAAAGCTCAGAGTCTGGTCTCTGAGGCTCAATGAAAGGTAGCATTCCTAAAAGCATTTTAGCTTTTCTAAAATGACAATGAAGTTGACATCTTCAAGGTACGCTCCCATACCCACAAACACACACTTGGCCCCCAGTGAAGGTTGTTATGAGAGACAGCCATGTGAAATTCATGATTTCATCTATTCAGGGATGGTGTATCCCTTATAGTAGGGTTTAGGAAAGGAATTTGGCCAGATCTCAGTATAAGGAAAAGGCATGCTTTTCCCAAACACCTGTCCCACTTTTCTTACAAATACTGTGAAACTTGTCATGAATCATGATTCCCTTTTTCCTTTGGCCACTAAGAATTCTCAGAACGAAATTTACTCACTGTAAAGACTGTATGGTATACACTTCAGTATGTTTCATTTTTTCCTATCCTTTTTGCCTTTTTCCTTAAGATCCTCAATTATTTATGTCTATTCTTATAAACATCAACAAAATCTTTTGTGGAAGGAGGTAGATATACGCAGATGGGTAGATACAGGTAGCTATAGATTAACTATTTAAATGGCTATGAGATGCTTCTTGTGTAGACATGTACTTATTTGTACATGATCCTCTCTCTCTAGATGGATTGCCACTAACATCAGCAAGCTGCTAGTCAGAAAACTTTCAAATAATCTTTAATTCGAGGTAAATTAAAAAAAAAAAGACACCAATTGTAGAAGTTACTTGTGAGACATTTGAGCTTTAGGGCTGAGACATTGTGGGGAGGGTAGTACCAGTTAATCTTTGAGCACCTGGGTCCTCCATGGGGATGAATGAGGAAGTGAGGTTTGGAAGAAAGCCCAAAGACTTGGGAGAAACCTGCAATAGAGGTTTACCTCCTTAAAACATAATAGCATTAGGGATTCAGACACAAGGTGTTCATTTCTGTGTTCGCACCAATTCTAAGGATCTAGCACTACAATTTCAAAGAAACTATTTGCTGAGAACACTGTCACCCTTCCCAGTGTAGGCTCACACACACACAGAGACAACCAGGAAAGGCTTTTGCAAAACAAATAGCAATGTCTTACAAACGTACACATGTGTGCATAAGGACTACAAGACAACTGCAAGGTATGACTCAGGAACACTGATCACAAATAAAACCATTCGTGGCTCTTTGCAGACCTCACAGTTTAGGATGGCGCCAAGGGATTCCTCCAGCTGGGCCAGGCTCTACCATTTGAGTTAGGCTTGACCATGAGTAAGTGGCCTTGAAGAGATGCGACGCACACCCCAAGACCACTGATTTCTGAACTTCTCATTTGGTTGTGGGTAAGCCTGTCTGGCTAGACTGCAATGTCTGCTGATAAAGCAGCAACTGGAACAACTGAAGAACTACAAAGCTGCGGATGCCACCTCACAGAGCTAAGATTCTGAAAGTGAGATCCTTGAACCACCTGACTTAGAATCACCCAGAGTTTTGGGGGGAGCTGCTAAAAACACTGATTTCTGGGGGCCGGCCCTGTGGCTGAGTGGTTAAGTTCGCATGCTCTGTTTCAGTTGCCCAGCCTTTTGCTGGTTCAGACCCTGGGTGCGGACATGGCACTGCTCATCAAGCCATGCAGAGGTGGCGTCCCACATAGCAGAACTATAAGGACCCACAACTAGAATATACAACTATGTACTGGGGGCTTTTGGGGAGAAGAAGAAGAAGAAGGAAAAAAAGAGAAGTTTGGCAAAAGATGTTAGCTCAGGTGCTAATCTTTAAAAAAACACACACACACAAAAACCCACTGATTTCTGGGTATCACTCCAGCCCAACTAAATCAGTATATGTGATTTAAAAATATTTTAGTACTTGTCCCCGTGCCCCACTCAGTGATTAATAAAAACTATTTTTAAAGAAGCTATGAAATAAATAAAATATCATGGTCTGATCCTGAAATTTAATTTGTTGAGTTTTTAGAAATCGCAGGATAGCTTTAATTTTCTTTTCTTTTCTTTTTTTAAGAGATAGAAAGAAGAAATGAGCATCCTTCTTTTTAAATGTGAAACTTACTGCCATCTGGCTTTATCCTTCAAGGAATTTTTCCTAGAGCTGTTCCCTTCACTGGGGCTGTCCTCCTCCTCGGTCTCGAGACTTCGACTACAGCTTCTGATGATCTGAAAGATGCTGTTGACTGTGGACTCCTTCTCTGAATTCTTTAAGCCATTTTGTCCCACACGTTGTAAGAAATTATCTTGTCCACTATAATCAGCTACAAACTACAGAAAAATATATCGAGGATTTGTTATCACAACTTCCCATACTACATCTAAATAACATACTTGGCTGGGGAAACGAAATCATAATAGTCGTAAATAATGGCATTTGTGCCTATTTTATTGCAAAGCAAAAAAAAGAACCTCCAGGAAAAACATTTTTTCGTTTCACCACAAGAAATACCAAAACTCACTCTTATTTCCACTAAGGCAACTTTAGTCCCTCTAGGAATCAGCACTCCACTTCGAATTTACAACACAAAAAGCAATATTATTGCAAGGTTCCCTAGGGAGAAGATTAGCCACTTTACAGAGGAAGGGCAGGGTTATTTTATCCTTGTAGTGAGAACTGAGAAAAACCATGACGAAGTCTATTATTCTATGGAACTGGCTAAAATTACTGGAGCCCAAGGAAAACATTGAGAGGGGGTGACGTTTTTCTTAATTTCCCATATATCCTATGGTGACACAGAGGCTTCCTGGTGGTTTTTAAGTGCTTATTGTCTACATTCATGATCAGGAAGTTTCTCCCACCAGAGGTAAGAGCTGTAGCCAGGCAGCAAGATGTGGCGTTCCTTCCTTCCAAGACATGAGGGGCCGGTGTGGGTGCAACTTGGAGGGCTTGCTTTAAGCTTTCTCCTCCATTTCTTGCCCTTTTATCCCCGTCATAAGCCAGAGAGATGCAAGCCGGCAATGTTGCCTCTACCCGTCAGGAGCTCTTAAGTCTCCCTGACACCATGTGATGCCTTTGTTCCCAGGTGACACAGAAGAGGCTGAAGTTCTAGGGAAAATCTTCCCACTGCCACCGAGAAGGGGTGTATGTGAGTGTGTGAGAGAGAGAGTGTGTGTGCATGTGTGTGTGTAAGATCAGTAGTGGGTGCTGTTACCATGGTTGAGAATGAGTCTAGATTTGGGTTTGGGACTTCCAGGTATGGGACTCCTCAAAATTCTCCATAAAGTTCCCCCCATTTTAGTCTCTTCTTTCATTTATCAACACCACATAGGGAGTTTCCTTATCTTCTTTCAGTTTCTCAATGCCCCTTCTCTCCAATGCCCAAGCCCTGAGTCAGAGCTTACACGGTCCTCTCCACTCTGGGAGTCAGGAATGAGAATCGATAGACCTGGGAAGACTGAGGCAGCCTTGATCAGGACCCTAGAGCCTGTCTTTAGATGAGGCACCAGCATCTCCAGCGGCCTCTCAGTAAGGATCAAAGGAGGGCAGCACTGACTCCCCCCCCATTCTTTCCTCCGTTGATTCAGAAAAGTTAATACTCTCGCTTGACTTCCCTTATCCCTTGCATCCAGACATTCCCACCCAATAAGAGAGAAGAAAACCCCATCAACCCTTAAAAAAAATCAGAACACAACACCCATTTCCACTTGTATTTACATATTGTCCCATTAAAGGCTAACTTCACAATGTTAAGCCCCAAAGAGGGCTAGTTGGCACTTTTCTTTGGAACTTTCAAAGACCTCACTGTTATCCAACACAACAGTAATGACTGATAATCCTGGGTTCAAGAAGTTATCTCTTCTCACTTTAGTGAGTGATGAGCCAGGCGGCAACAACAACTCTTCAGATCATGAGGATTTGGAAAGGCCTCACCTCTAGAGTTTCTTCCTGGGAATTGTACCTCGGGCAAAGCTTCATGAGGCCGGAGGCTCCGTCGAGCGCTTCACACAGCTCCTTCAGAAACACCCCACAGAACGGAACCACCTTACAGCCGGGGATGTGCAGTGCCCGCGTCACCACCTTCCTGTACTCACAGGAAGATTCGTGCTGAGCCATGGCATCCTTCAGGCTCCTCATGGTCTCCAGGTCAGACTGGTCCATGAACTGCCACATTTTTAAAACTTTTCTTGACCTATGGCAAGTAAACAACATTTCTTTAGACAGAAGGAGAATAACATAGTTTATAGTTTACAGTAAATAGCCTAAATCCCATACAAATTCATTCTTTTTTGTCTAAGTTTCCTTTATGTTTTAATACTTATTTAGGATACATATCTCTACCTACTTTGCCAGGTACATATCTCTACCTACTTCCCTAAATGATGTGATTATTACTTTTATAAATTGAAAAACAAAATTAAATAGGACAGATACAAACAAAAACACATGTGGAAGGAGTTAATTTCGGAAGGTAGGCAATGAACTTAGGTTTAAGCTTGTCTGACAGCTATAGCCAAAAGGGAAAACTAATGGATAGCATGGTTTATACAAATATTTATGTAGGATTGCCTGCAGAAACACTGTCCGTTCATTCCTCTTGATCTTGCAAGCGCTGTCCTTGGATCAAGCCAGTCCCTCAGTGATACACATGAAGTCTGTTATGGCTTTTGTGGAACTGCTATTGCTGAATCCAGCTTTGACATTAAACCACTGGTCCATCCTGAGGGGTATTATTTTCAAGTATTATTTGCATAACAGGATGTTGAATGGACTTTTCCTATTTTGAAATGGCTGCTGAGAACAACAGGTGACAGTGTACCCCATCTTCTAAAGAGAGGCACCAGGCCGTCACAAGGGGTGTCCTAACTGCCCTGCCCTCAGTGAGCTCTAACCCTCCATCTGCTCATGCAGAGGAACTGGAGCTGAGGGGCAGCTAGGGAGTGTTTCTTTGGAGAGAGTTGTCAGAGCACTAAATGTAGAACGAGAAAAGCCACTCCAAGTGCAGGGGGCTTGAAGTCAACTCCACGGAGAGGGTGACCTGTGTCCTGGGCAGTGTGTTGATCACATAGACTGGTGTTGACTCTTGCCTACGAAAGCCTAGGCAAGATGAGAGGCTGCCAGGAGCTGCCCGAAGGCAACATGAGGGAGAAGGTTCCTGTGGGCACGTCTTGCATGTGCAGTCTGGGAGGGCAAAGCGCTCAGTGCTTCCTGTGAGTCAGGAGTGGACACTGTGAGAGGCAGCTGGACCTGAGCTATCTTGAAAGGCCTGCCTGCCACATGAGGTGGCCCTAGTGGAAAGAGTCTGTGAGGGCAGCACTTCCAGAGTTGGGTCCTGGGGATGGAGGGTGCATTGCCTCTTGCCAGGTAATGGTGCACTGGGAGGTACCTATTGGACAGGGGCTGGGGGAAGATGGAGGGAGTAATTAGGAAGAAACCCTATAAGCACCCCACACTGCTCTCTGTGGGAGCATCTAGGCCAGATTACAACTGTCCCAGTCAAGTAAGACCTTCATACCGTTTACCCTCCTCCCTTCGCCTCTCCTGCTCACTTTTTCTGCAGGGACCTTGAGCTGGAGGGAGAGGGAGAGAAAAGATAAACCATATCTTCCCGTCCTACTGCAGGTTTCTGAGACTAGCTGGGCTGCAAAGTGTGGGGAAAAGGAGAAGCTTTAAATTAAATGAGAGATTGAAATTTTGATTTAGATCAGACTGGCTGAAAAAAATCATTATGTAATATATAAGATATCCAAAAGACATGAAGAAGTACAACATGACAAACACCCATGCCCCAACCGCTCAGTTTGAAAAATAAAACACTGATAATACTGTTGAGGCCCCAGTGGACTCCTCCATGGGCACATACTCCTCCCTCCTTCACCAAAGGGGACCACAACTCTGATTTCAGGGTTCTCGTTCCCTTACAATTCTTTATACTCTTCCAACATGTGTATATATCGCCTAGCAGTTTGTAGAACTGTTGGTGTGCTTTTCAACTGTATGTAAATGGTGTCACACTATAGGTACTCTTAAGGCAACCTGCTTTTTTGCTCAGCCTTGTGTTTCTGAGATTCATTCATGCTCATGTGCTGAGACAGCTTATTAACCACACAAGTGACTGGGAAAGCTACAGGATCTCCCAAGGTATAATCCAGAATCAGGGGAGGGACAGCCAATTGGGCATGTGTAAAAGACAGTGAGGTCAGAAAAATAAAATTGTTTCCTGATTTCACCCCACTAAGTCCAGCTTGTCCTACAACTGTTTTCTTATAAGGTGGTGAGAATCACTTTTTGGGCATGAAATGGAGGTATAAATAAATAAAGTGAATAAATACATGAGCTATGGTTCTCATTATTTGATCATCCTTCTTTTCATGAGTAATGGAGTAGTCCTGGTACAATTGGGAGCAAAAGATAAACATCAGCAAAGATCAAAGATTTTTTGTTAGATTGAGAATTGACACTATTTTAAAACTTTTATTTCTTTTGTGATTATAAAGGTACTAGATGCTCATTGTAGAAAATCTGGAAAATACCAAAAATTTAGAAAATCCACCCACAGTTCTACCATTCACAGACAACATTAGGCATAGTTCCTTCCAGTATTCTATTTGTATCTGTCTGGTATAAATATTTTATAAATTTTGTTGTATAAATATTGCTGAGGGTATTAAGTATTGACAGCTTTATTCCCAGATGTTTTTATGCCTTATATACTACTTGTTTTCCAATGGTATTAAAAATTTTTCATAAACATAATTTTGGGTGGCTAAATAATATTCCATTGTATGAATGCATTACATTATTTTCTTCATTTTTCCATTCTTGTTCATTTGGGTTATTTTAAATTGACACCATGATTATGTGAAATGAATAATGGAAGCTTCAGCTAAATTGGAGTCAGGAACGCCTATAGGGGGAGCTCTCACCTCCTATTGTACATAGTCAATTACTTCAAACAGGAAGAGATGTAGCTTGCATCTTAGACAGGAAGGCGTTTGTTACTTCACTCTACAGCAGGAGGAAGATTTCTCTCCCTGCCCAGCAACAGCTCAGCCAATGAGAAGCACCACAGCTAAGCCAGTGAGAAGCTGTCACCACCCTGAACTCTCACTTTACTCCAATGAACTTTCTTTTAGAACAGTCCCTCCCTTTTCCTCTCCCCCTTTTGCTCTATAAAAGTAAGCCCCTTCCTTTGTTTCTCTGGATTTGCCTGTGGTCCACCCATAACACATACATCCCAAATTGCAATTCTTTTGGCTCTTCCTGAATAAACTTGTTGTACGGGTAAAACAATTGGATAATGTACTGTTTAAGTTGACAAGTAAACATTGTTATATGTAAATCTTCATATTTCTAATCATTTCCTTTAGACAGTTGAGAATTTAGTTTAAGGAAGCAAAATGTAAAATGTCCATAGAAAACTAAAGTCATTTAACAGTGTTTGCTCCCCCTTCACATGTACTTGCTTCAAAAAATGAAAAACTTTAGTTATCTTGATGTAGTTAAATTACTTATAATCGAAATATTTTCAAGCCTGAAATTGTACACACAAGCTCTGCCTCTACAATCATTCTATCATAAGAACATCTAGAAACTTATCTTGTGTATACTGTTCCAGCAAAAGAGCTATTAAACACGGTACTTTTACCCACATATTTGTAAAGATCAGTTTTAAGCCAAATATAGGAGCATGACTAGGTGGCAATAGGTCTGGGGTGTAAGACAAAACGCACAGGAATTACTGGTAAGGTTTAGCCTGGTCTGAGGTTATTCCTCATTTAAGGGAGAATCACCTGGCTCTGCGGTCTTCTTGGATTTTGAATCCAAACTTGGATCCAAACAAAGTTGGGTTTGAAAGTCACATTCACTCAAGGTCTTCATGGGTCATTGAGGCCATTCTTGTATCAAGAGAATCTAATACATGGTACGTGGCAGCCAGCCTCCAAGATGGCGCCCAATGATCCACACCTCCTGGTGTAGTATAGTCCTATCTACAATGAACCAGTGCTGGTGCTAAGTGACCAGTACAATATGGCAGAAGTGACAGTGTGTGACTTCTGAGGCTAGGACATAAAAGGCACTGCAGCTTCTGCCTTGCTCGCTTGGATGGTTCACTTTGGAGGGAGCCAGCCACCATGCTGTGAGGACAGAAGAGAGGAAGTGAGGTCCCCAGCCAACAGCCAGCACCAACTTGCCAGTCAAACACAGAAGGATAATCATTACTAAAACAGAACTATTTTTATCATAATATGATCATTCTTCTTTTTTTTAAAAAAAATAGAAAAGTAGCAGGTTCTTTGTAGAAAATTTATCACAAAGAGAATCAAATCATCTGAATATAGCCTTTTGTTCTCCCAGTATTTTCTCTATTTTTATCTTCTTTTGAGCCATGCCTGGTACATTTGTGTGATCATTTTAAATGCCAATGACATGATTATTTGAGTTTATTCTTAGTTAAGAAAACTCAAAAAGGACAAAAAAATTTCCACCTCTGAGAATTTTCCTCTCCTCCCTCAATCCTGCATCCCTATGTAGGGACATGGAGAATCAAAGAAAAATCTTGATAACGTTATAAAGCAGGATCTATTTATAGTGAGAACCCTCACTGGGAAGGTCAACAGACAACAGTAAGAATAACAGTAATAGGTTCTCTTTATGAAGTCTTACTATATGCCAGCCACTTTACATTATCTCACTAAATCCTACATGAAGAGATAGGTGCTTTTTTATTATAATCTCCATTTTGCAGATGAAGAAACTGAGACTCGGTGAGGTCAAGCCATTTGTCCAGATTACACAGGCATTCTGTGGGGGAGCCAGGATTTGATTCCCTGTTATTCTGACTCAACAGCTCATGCCCTTCTTCCTCACCCCACAATGCCTCCCACAAGAGTGAAGGGCAGCTACTTTATGCCAGGTAACTGAGGTTGCAAGGGAATAAGGCAGGAGACTTTATTGACAGCATGGTGATCTTATTATTAGGTTGATGGAGAAGACATGAGAGCAGCATATCACAGAGGTGAAGGGCAGGGCTCTGAAATCAAGGCTGCCTGCATTCATGTCCCACCCATACCACGTGACCTTGGGTGAATGACTTAACCTCTCCTACCTTTAGTTTCTTCTTTTGTATAATGCAGTAATAATAATAGCATCTACCTCAAAATATTGTTCAGAGAATTAAAAGATTTAACGCATGGAACATGCTTAGCCCAATGCTTGACACCCAGTAGGTGTTCAATAAAAATGAGAGCTAACATTACTGAATGCTTATTATCAATGTTAGCCACTGTCATGTTGGGAGCTTACAGTGCTGGGGCAATTCATAAGGCAGAGCTGGGAAGAGATAGAAGACAGTGCGATTTACAGGGCAGGAAGGGGAAGAGTGGGACCAGTAAAGGGGCTGATGGAGTGATGCAATCAGGTAATTTTACTCAGCTTGGCCAAGACACAGCTAATTCAGATGCTGAATTCTGCAGCATCTTTGAGGGACGGAGCTAGCAGAGGATAATATATTTCCTGAAATAATCACTACCAATTACCTGGTTTGGGTAAGTGTGGTTACCAGGGCAATTAATTCAGCGTCATTCAGCTGGTTAAGAGGAAACTGTGCCCAGATAATCATATTCCCCACCACCTGTACCTGAGGCCAGCCAAGAACTCCATGACAGCATTGTAGTTGCCCATGTTCCAGCAGCATTTGGCCACATGCACCAAATATGAGAAGACTTCCCGCTTCTCCTCCATGGAGCCCGCGGTGAGGATCAGCCACGTTACCCAGGAGCTCACCTGGAAAATGCAAAGAGGGGCATCCACTGAAACTTTGTCCCAGAAGCTTGGTAAATATTTTTTTTTACAAGAAAACGGTTTTTCTCTTTTTAAAAATCAGTGTAGGGTTAGGAAATGAAGGACTCAGCCAAGAGATTGACATGAAGCTCAGCTCCGTCACTGCTTTGCAGTGGGATTCTGGGAAACCACTTCACCTCTCTGTACTCCTCATCTTCATCTTTCAAATACGAAGGCTGAAAGGTAATTCATAAAATCCCTCTTGATCTATAAAATTCCACGAGATTAAGTCCTAAGGATAATCTTGATTTAAATATATTTGATTGATGGACAGCAAGATTAAATGCAATCAATGCACTTAGCACAAACGAAAGACCATTTATCAAGTAGTAAAATACATGAGATCATATATTACGTATTATGATACATAATATTATAATATCATATATGTAAAAAGGCAGAAATACATGTATTTTTGAACCGTCTTTTACAAATGCATTCTCTATTATGTTCCTCAAATGACTAAATAATAATGAGGGGAACAAACACTTATATAGCACTATGTGCCAGGAACTGTTCTAAGCACTTTACATAAGTTAACTCACTTATGTCTCACAACAATCCTAAGAGTCAGGGACTATTATTCTCCTCATTTTGTAGAGGAGGCAACTGAGGCACAGAAGGCCTAAGAGACTTGCTCAAGGTCCCCAACCAAAAGGTGGCAAAACGTGCATTGGAACTGAGGTGTGTGTCCCCGAGGTGGCACTATTCACCACTCACTCAATGCCTAAAGTGTATATGCCACCTCTACTGTCCTCCAGCTCTAGGCTTAACTTATTCTAATGTGACTTGTTTTTTCTACCACACAGACTGGAGTATGATATTAATAATAATCTACTACTACAGTCCCCCCTTTATGATCTGCAGCCTCAAAATCCTCTGCTGAACCTCTAAGGTTATTTTGCTGCTACCTAGACTTTGGTGCGTGGACACTCGTGTTCACTTAAGTTACTTTCTTTGGCTAATGTCTGGGCACATTTGTTAACAAACCAAAGCTTTGGTTTCAACCCCACATGGCCATTAGCTGCGTTTAGTTCAGCAACAGTGCTGAAACCCGGGGAGCAACTCATTTCCCCGGCCTGAGCGTGGGTGAGGCCTGAACGCAGAGGTCATGGTGACCCATGACAAATGCAGGAAGAAAAGAGTTCAAGGTCTATGGCAGGCTGCCCCTCCTCCCCCAGTCAATAAAATGATAGGAATGAATGGTATTTAGTGTTGGCAGAGGGCAGTCCAACCCCACTTTTTCCAGATCAGGAATCTATGGCTCATGGGAGAGTGACTTTCCAAGGTCACAATTCTAATTGATGTCAAAACTAGGACTCCCACTCTGGTGCTCTTTCATCTGATGAAGGATGACAGTTTCTTTAAATTTGGCACTGCTTAGGTCCTTCTAAGCACTCAATAAGGGCTTCACATTTGAAGACAGAGCTGGAATAAAAGGAGAAGATACCGAGAAGAGTACCAAAAAATGATTAAAGTAGTGAAAAAAGCCGAACAGAAGAGACTGAAGCTGAACACCTCTTTCCTCTCCCCACCCAGAAACAAATAGGGAAATAGTAGCCACAGGGAGTTTCAGCGATAAAACAGCTTCCTACTCTGGTACCAGCCAGCAGCACTGCAGTAATAATCTGCCTCTTCCCTTCTGAAATCGGCTAAAGCAAAATGTGATGGGCTGCCTGCCACCCCTGAGGCCAGCCCCAGCCCAGTGGGCTCCAAGCACACACCTCTGATCTCTGCCGGCTCTGAACTTTGCTGGGCCCTCAGGCAAAACCAGGAGAAGAGGTCTGGACTCAGCTCCCTAGGATGAGCCCTGGTCCAGATACCCTGCAAGGAATTCAGAGCCTTTGGGGAAGATAACCATCAGTTCCGATCTCCTGTGACTGCTTTGAGTACACAGGAACCCTTGGGATTCCCAGAGCCAGCCGCTCTCGAAGCTATGGGCAGTCCCTTGCTCAGTGTCTCCATGCCTTGTCCTCTTACCCAGTTTACCCAGTAAACAGTCACCTCCGTGAAACTCTGGCTCACTAGAGCAAGACATTATTTGGCCAATAGCGACTGAGTGCCGTTAGTGCTTCTGTCCGAGTCTTCCTTTAGTGTGATCCGCTTTTGGTGAGCCCTATCATGCTGCAGGAAATCACCAGTGAACACTTAGAATCATAAAATCATCGACTCTTTGAGCTAGAAATTCAAACCCATCTCTTAACAACAACAATAACAAAAGAAATCTTGGAAAGTTCAAGTGGTTACTCAAAGATACCCAATTCATGAGTTCTTAAGGCCTATGGCTAGATTCTTTCTATGTCTTTAGCTCTTTTTCTGTTGAAATTGACGGCAAATCAGTGTCTCTGGAGTCATTGTTCGTTCAGGCTATCCTGGCACCACACAGTAACTTATTAGTCCAGGGGCCTGAAAGGGTTAAATCATCGTGGCCTGGACAGGCCTGCGTCACAGAGCAGGTGCAGACCACCACATGTTTTGTGCCTCCATCCTGACCATGCATCCAGATTTATTTCCTATCAGTCAAACCATTTTCCATATACTTTCCCACAATGCTAGGAAAAAAATAGCGATACGTATTTCACATGGAAACCTAATTTAAACCAACTGTTCCATCTCCGAGCGTGAGTCTCCAGGGCCTGGTTGTTGAGATCATGTAAGCACTCTTATCATAAACATAAACACACACACACACAGCGCCCAACATCTGCTTACCGACTTCAGGGACAATTCTCATCACAGCCTAATATTAGTCATAATTTCACAGGTATTAAACGATCAGAGTGTCATCACTAATTACGGAAAATAAAAGACACAAAAACGAAACAAGGATTCAGCGATGATGTAAAATGTTGCCTGAAGCATAAAGGGTGGTCACATTTACTAAGTAGAAAATGGGGTGTGTTGCCAATCCAGAAAGAATTTCAGGACACTGAAATCACACAGGAAAACAAAAATCGCATACATATAAAGTCCTACGACTCAGTCATAGGGAGCACCCCCAGAGTAGAAAGGTGTTAGATGTAACAGATTATCTTGATTTATTTCAACGGTCAGTACACAATAAAGAGAGAACCTGGCCCCCAACCTAAGTCTTCCAGAGTTCCTCTCAGAGGCTCTGTGCTCACCCTGACGACCCTGACCCCTTGGTACATGCCTATAACTCCTCCACAACTTCTGCCCCCAAATGTTTTTGCCTTCCTTCACTTGTCTTTCTCAGGACTCTTAGGCCTCGCCAAATGGAACAGCTTGCTCTCTCTCTCACATCAAATACCTTATTGGCAACACACAAGCTCAGTTTGGAAGGAACGTTCTTGCTCCGTGTAAAATGACCTTTCCTTGCTCCACCGTGTCTTGCCCGTGTCCTGTGTAAAGCTGAATTCTTACTTGGCCCACCAGGGCCCTGTCTGTCCTCCAACTTCACCTTGGCTCTCCCCACCATCCCTGCTTTTAGCGGGTGTCCAAGGCTTTTTCCCAACTCAGGGATCTTGTACTGGTTGTTCCTTCTATGAAGGCTTCCTCTACTCCCCCACCTTTGATTTAGCCAATGCCTACTTATCCTTTAGGCAGAACTGCCCTTAGACGCAGAAATCAGGATCCCTGCCCGGGACCCAGTGCTCTAGAAGGCCCACGCTGGCTCATTCAGCTATGCCCCTCTCCAGAGTGAGAAGCCTGTGTGGTGCGGGGAACATGTCTGCCCAGCGGCTGTGCGCCCCCTTCCAGATCATTCAGCCCTTTAGACTCAGGACTCCCAAATTCCCTCTCCAAACAGCCCCAAGCCCACATCTTAGCCTGCGAGGGGACTTTCATCTGGATCATTCCTCGTAGATCATAATTCTAGGCCTGAAGGCTGGCCAAGGGGCAGTTGTGTGTAGATGGAGTTTGAACTTGAGACCTGAGGAGTCCACACACAGGCATATGAGCCAGGACGGAAAGAGAAGGTGGGCAGGCCATGGGCTGGGGCCTCCTTTGTACTTCGTCCCAGCTCCTCTAAAGTCAAGGGCAGGGCTGTCTTTAGGGATCTGATGAAAGCATCACTTTCTTGAGTAGGCCTGCTCTGACATCCCACCTAGACTAGGTCCTTATGCTGTGCATTATGTGATGCCCCTATGTCTCCTTGACCGCAGACCTCCTGAACAGTTAGCCTTGTGTTCCCTAAAAGGCAGATATCTGTTCTGCTGTGCTCACCAGCAGCAGTATCCACTGCCAGTGCTTAATGAGATTTGGTGAATGAGTGGATGTGACCTCCCCTAGGAAGGCTTTTCCGATCGCTCACCTAGCACCCCCATTCGACTTCTTCTGTTTCTCTTTGACTTAATGTTAGACCTTGAGTCCAACATTCCGTCTGCACTTGGATTCTCACTGCTGCATGGATTTGTGTCTGGTTTATTTTTGTTACATTTGTGTGCCTGACTCTTTCACATGGATCTGTTCTGTCTACCCCACCATCCTTACGTCCTCAAGGACAGAGACCATCTTTCCCACATCTCCAGTGTGGGGATGCTCAGTGGCTCTGACCGACAGGCAGGCCACCCAGAGTCCCAGGAGGCCATGGGCAGAGAGGATTCTCAGCCCCCAGATGGTCAGGGATTATATTTGGGAAAAGGCCTGAATGCTTCCTACTACTGTTCCCAAGTCCAGAAAAACGGGACAAATGACTTTCTGCCAAAAAGTTTTTTTTTGACTATGCTAAGCAGAAGTTGTCCTAGAAAGATGATCCTTTTAATGGGTATCTGGTCACCCTAACTGCAAAGGCTGGGCTCAAATGGTGAAATCTAAAGAAGACAGTGGTAGTCTAGACAAAGCGACTCTGAAGTAGTTTATGTGAGTACACATCTACACCTGCCCTCCATGGGGCTTTACTAAAACAACCCGTGAACTAGAGTGTGTGGGCATGCACATGCACACAACACATTGGCAGCCACACACACCCACCCCCGCCCCCC